TCTCTCTCTCTCTCTCTCTCTCTCTCTCTCTCTTCTATATATATATATATATATATATACAGAGAGAGAGAGGTTATGTGCTTATATATTCAGTTTTCAAATATGTATAAGTATAAGCTTCAATATGGGTGTGTATTATGTGTATAAATCTTAGAAGATAATTAATTTTTGGCATGTTTTTTTATGTTTACTGTTTTAAATTTATTGTGTACTTATTCTTCATAATCGCCTATACAAGAAATATTCTCTTGGTGGTGAATATATGTTTATTTTAATTATTTTCGAACTTATATGTTTTCTGCATCGTTCAATAAAGGTGGTACGTTTGTTTGTTAATACCATATGTATTTAACATGAAACAAAAACACCTCATAAGCAAACCTTACCATGAAGTCCACCCCAAAATATAGCTAGCCATAAGACATTAGGTGCAAAACAACATAGTGCTGCTCCAGCAGCTGCCAGCATACCTCCGCAGAAGGTTACCGTACGAATACCATATGTCTGGCCTACAATTCCAACCAAGGGACCTAAACGAAAGTCAATACATAAAAATCAAACTTAACTCTATCACTTGAGTTGAGATGAACTCAGAGTTAAAAATTAAGTTAGCTTTGAAAAAGACTAATAAAGTTTCGAAATTCAATGTCTCACAATAGAGTAAATGACGCATAATCAACTTCACTGATTTTCATTTTTACTTTTCATTCGTAATGCTGATGCATAACAAATAAAAAGTAAAAATGAAAATCAGTTATATCAAAGTACAGGTATATACAATAGAAGACTTAAAAGTACTCTCTAAAAAAATTACTGATCAAATTTCTCTAAAAAGTACTAGCACCCTGCGTGTAGCATCCTTAAAATCCCTTTTACTGTAAAATCTATTTTTGTCATAATATTTGACACCCAAATCTCTACCATATTATTTACTTAAATACTGTTAATCAGTGATTTTGCGGTAAATATTACAGTAAAAATGAGAGTACAGTGCGCCAAAAGAAAAAACGGACCACCCTGATACACTTTTGATTTAATGATCGGATCTTCATGTTTTAGGACTCAATCTTAATGGTTCGAGTAGGTGACTTCAAATATGGTAATTAACGATATTTTAAGTTACAAAATCAGACACAAAAGCGTACTTCTCTGAATAAACACATCTTTTTCTCGACGGATTCGGATTTTTGACACCCAAAATAAAAGGGGTAGTTACAAATTGGGAAATATGATCCCCATAGTTTGGGACAGAAGAGAGATTCAAAGTTTGGACCCCTTAATGTTAATTTTACTTTTTGCGTATTTCGCTGTATCTCGAAGAACTTTTTAAGCGAATTGAAAAAATTTCGCAAAAATTTATAAAATTCGCTTTTCCAAAGATAATTCCGTGTTAAAAATAACTCTTAGTAAATATTTATAATTTTTCATTATTTTATTTAAGAATGATTGAAAAGAGATTGAATTGCAAGGTATACAATTTTAAAGAATAAGCACCATTTTAAAGAATATAATTTTACTTCCAAAATACAAAATTTTAGGAAAATTAGTTGAATATTTCCTGAAAGATTTCTCTCAAATTTTGTATTTTGCCATGTGAAATTACGTAGGGGAGAGTCGGGTAGCCCCGCTCACTTAAGGAGTATTGCTTATATTTCTGTATAATATTGAGTAATAATCAATATTTTTGCATGTTTCTATTGTTTTATCATCTAATTAAATAATGCACAAAGAATAAACCAAAAAAAGAATAGTTTAACTTAAATTAATAGAAATTTTAAAAAACATGTTTTTCAGCTCTTTTCAAAATGTGTCGGGTAGCCCCACTCAGTTACAAAAATTATGTTTTTTGACTGTTTTTTCAGGTGTAAATGAAAGTGACCAATGTATTGACAATAGTTAAACCTTGTTTATCACAAAATTATTTTATTTATTACGTATTTATATACTTCTAGTGAATTCTATCATATAATAACAATCATTTAATGACAACAATATTTGTTGTTAAAAATGCATATAACATTCAAATTTGAAGAAATAAAATAATAATCTTTGCAACCGCACATTTATCGACGAAATAAAATTGGTCGTTGATACCTGACATTCATGTGAGCGGGCTACCCGAAATCCAATTTTTTTGTAAATTTGTAATTACTCGAACAATGTTTCGCATATAGACTTCTTTCTTTGTGCAAATTAAACTTAAGACTACATACTTTAATGCTGTATATATAGAAGAAAAAAAATTTTTAGTATTAAAGTGAAGTTTAATCGAAACATTCAACAAATTTTTCTTAATTTCATGACTACTATATTCGACATATTTTCAAAACTATTGCTTACCATGTTAACAACTGCATAAATACATGAAACTTTGAAAAGAATCTTTTTTTAATATAACAATTAATATCCGATGGCCCATTGACTTGAAAAAATATTCTATACATATGAAATTCACAGTGGGCGGGGCTACCCGACTCTCCCCTACTTGAAAATTATGTAAAAAACTGCATATCCCATTAAAATATTGTTAGCATATTAAAATTTTTCGAATATTATTTAATAAAATAACAACAAAAAAACATAAATATTTACTAAAATTTCTTTTTTGCACGGAATTTTCTTTGGATAAACGAATTTCATAACTATATGCAAAAGGTTTTTGATTAGCTTAAAAAGCTCTCGAAATATGGTGAAATATGCAAAAAGTAACTTTGAATCCTTCCTGATAAGAACCATATTTCCCAAATTGAAGCTATATTTTGGTGGACGAAAATTCAAATCTGTTGAAAAAAAGTTATGTTTATTCAGAGAAAGTAGGTTTTTCCGTCTGATTTCTGAACTTATTAATTAGCATATTTGAGGTCACTCCCTCGAGCCATTAAAATTGAGTCTTACAATGAGAAGAATTGATCATTAGATCAAAAGTTATTAAGGATGATCCGTTTTTTATTTTGCACACTGTACATCAGATTTTTTCTTCCGTAAAATTTATCGGAGAAAATGGATTTCATAGTTAGACATATCAGCACCCTGAGTGATGGTACTTATTACCGTAATTTGATTTGTACATTTTTACAGTGTTAAAAACCAATTCTCGCACCAAAACATAGTTGTTAGCGTATTACAAGAGAGTGTACTAAGTCATAATCAGGATAGTTACAATGTGATTAACTGCTGTTTAGCTCTTTGTTTAATTAACCTTGAGGAACCGGGTTCGAATCCCGGCGATGGCGGGTCGATACGAATTCCACATCCAGCTTTCACCGTTCACAGCGCTAACATAAAATATCTTCAGTGGTAGACGAATCATGGGTTGAAATAGGTTTTCGTGGTTTTCTATCCCATATCCCATGTAACGCAAATGCGGGTGAGTTCCATCAAAAAGACCTCCAAGAAGACAAATTTCTCCCAGTACTTGATACAGGAGTTCCCTTTCTAAATTGGGTTCAAAATTGCAAAGCTACGGAGTTGAACATTAATTGTCGTAAACCCAAAATATTGTTGTTGTTGCTGTAGTTCATTTACGTCGCACTAGAGCTGCACAATGGGCTATTGGCGACGGCCCAAAATATTGAATCGTCTCTTTAATGAGGGTTATGAAATAAAGTAAAATTAACATAGAGCACTGTTCTTGTTGTTATCGTCGGCCATTAAGGCAGATGGGATCTGAGTATTCTTCTTTTCCAGTGGCGCCATCTATCGCCAAGAATTTGACTTTTGTCGCACCCATACGTCACACCCGTTTATAGGGCGGACATATTTATACATCCATTCAATCGTCCACAGATCGTAATTTTGACCTGAACCAGAGAACGATCAATCTCCAATTCAGTACTCCTATAGGTATTGATTTGTTATGAGAACAAGGAGGACTTTGTGAACTGACAAATTTAATGTGCACCAGTCACCATTTACTGCAAGACCGGCTGTAAACTCACGTTCTCTCAAAGAGTGAGTCCAGCGCCCTGCCAACCAGGTTATCCCGGCCTAGAGAACTAAGCCTACAGAACTAAACTAATTAAATGAGTTAAAATATATGCTGTGAAAGGGATAGTAATGTTTAAATTATTACAAATCACTTCAGATTGAAATTTAGATTAGATAAGAAATAACCATTTAAATGCAGTAGTTAAATTCTAGGTAATACATTTAAACATTACATTATAATAGTTATATATTTAATTATAAGTATTATAATAGCACCTAGTATCTCAATAAGAATCGAGGGAATAAAATATTTCATCTAAAGTCATTTTGCTCAAATGTCTCGAGGAAAAGCTATAAAAAATGAACAATCGTCATAGCAACCAAGATATTTAAGGACACGTTTCATTTAACAGTCAATTTAACTTCCCCAAACTATAATGGGTTTGAAAACTAATAAAAACAGCAGATTATGTTTTATAATTTTAAAAAATGCATATTTTTATGCATTTTTCTGGTTGATGCATGTACTGCTCTGAGCTCGCAACAACCACAATGAAGTAGCGTACAATGAATACTTGAGAAAAGCACTAGCGTCTGTCCTCGAACGAAAACATGCGAATTTAAGTACAACTATTTTTGTTCACAAAAAATTTAAATTCAATCGACTGTTTATAAACGATTTCATGATAATTTTTATAAATACTACAATCTATTCTCAAATGAATAGCGGAAAATTTAAGTACAACAGTCTCTTTTCAAATCAATTCGTGAGAATTAAGTTTATTCTCAAATGAATGCATTAGAATTTAAGGTCAACTGTTTGTTTTAAATGAATCCACACTGTAAAAACTATGGAATAGTATCTTTTGGTTATTTGAAGTCGAATAAATCAAAGATGCAAAGGAACACTTTATTTCAGAGTAACACAAAGTCAAATGCTCATATATACTTTTTTTTTATAACAGTCGTTGAACAGATGACCCTATTTTGTGTCTTATCACTACCAATGTTCAACTCAGTAGCCTTGTAATTTTGAATCCAATCCAGAAGACGAAGGAACTCTTTCTTGGTTGAAGCATTGGGGAAAATGTACTTTCGCGGAGGATTTTTTGATTGAACCTACCCGCATTTGCATTACATGGAGACGAAAACCTAATCCATGATTCGTCCACCACTGAGAATATTTTACATTAGCACTGTGGTCGGTACGAGCCTGGTGCGGAATTCGTTACGACCAGCCATCGCATTAGAATAGTCGAATCCAAACACCAATAATTGAGAAATCGTAATCCAAGCTCTACGCATTCGCAACATTTGTAAATTATTTTCGCATCCAAAAACACCAATTTCGGCATGCTTTGGATATTGTAGATTGTTTGAGTACGAGATGTTGCTAATACGCAAAACATTTGGTGCAAGCTTGCTCCAATATAAGTGTTCAGATTTAAATTACACCCTTTTAATTGCATATAAAAGCTCAATTTAGTGTTACCCTGATATAAATTGTTCCTTCACAAAAATTTTTGAGTTGTTCAACACACTTGAAGAGGCAGTGCACCACAGTTTTTACATACATCATTTCAATCACGATTCATATTTAGTCATTCCACAGAACACAACAAAAAACAATAAAAAGCTGGAAATTCACCTGTACACATTCGAAAACCATTTCTTACAGAAAATGGGAGCATAGCTTGTTCCCTGGTACATTGATACGAGTTCAGAATCGCGACATACAAGATGGCGGCCATCCTGTTAAGTCCAGATAAAAGCATGTTGATGACGCAAGATGCGATAGCAACTATCCAGGCATATCCTACATCAGGTTCTTCTAAGTATACCATATTTATCTATTAATGTATGTTCTAAATTCTAACATCTGGGTCTTCCGTTAAAATCTTTTGTTTTGAAAACTGAACTTGCTTGAATCAGTGCAACAAAAGTATTAAAAAATAGTAATTTAATAATTGAACTCATACGAAATTTGGCGAAAAGTTGCATTCATAAACAAAAATTATGTATTTTAAAATTTAGCATCTTCACCTACATTAAAATATTTCTTACTTTAATAAAATAGAAATGCAGGAATAAGACAAATAATTCTTATCTAAGACGAAATGATACAGAGTTTCAACACTTCATCAAACTTTTTATTTCATTGAATATCGTTTTGCTGATGGAAAAAAAACAGAATTGCAACGTCACAGCTAAAATATTCTAGTTCTTTTATTAAATTTGATCCTTGCATAAATTTTTAGAAATGTTAATTTAATCTTTACATTTCGTAGCACGCATGAATAAACCAAAATATTTGTTTTAGAATTTATTGCTGAGATTTTTTATGCAATAATGACTTTGTATAAAAAATAACAATTGTATGGAATATAATTGCAATTATAAACATTATTCAACTAAAATGCATCTGATGTATTGTTGTTGATTTACTCTTGTTGTGTAAATGGAACAGTAAGAATAAATAAAAAAATGAAAATTAAAAAAAGAATAAAAAGCATTAGAAATTGGCTAACATTTAACTTCGATCGAAAGAACTTTCAATGTGATGTGTAATATATAAAACCTGTATTTTGTTCAATTTACTTATACATTGTTTTGAAATTGGATAATAGATACCTGTACAAAATCAGTCGAATTATTTCTTTACAACAAAATTTGGGAAAGTCGTATTTTCAGAATGTTGATATACTTTTAATCGAAATTTGCATTTTGTCTTTTAAAATTATATAAGTAGTTCAAAATGATATAAAAATCTGTATACCTTACAACTGAAAATTTCAGATCCGAATTAAATAATAAATAACTGTTAGAAAAAAAATTGCATGACATTTTATTTTGATAAACTAATTTTATAATTATGCGCAAACATTTATTGATTCTCCTAACTAGTTCAATATATATTTTATTTTATATTATTTTATATTTTATCTATTTTATAATTTTATAACCATCGTTGAACAGCCGGCCAAATTTTGGGTTTACGACTACTAATGTTCAACTCCGTAGCCTTGTAATTTTGAAACCAATTAAAATGTGAAACATTTTTTAAACAATTATTATTAAAGCAAAACAATTTTAAAACAAACAAACATTTTAAAATATGCGGAATGTTCTGTATGCAGGAAATAACATTTTAATCACACCGCGATTAATATATAATTTCAGGATATCTTTAAAACTGAACTCAAAGAACAAACATTAGGGATCGAAAATTTAATAATCAATATTAAAAATCAATATTTAAGCTATTAAATAACAGAAATGCTATCAAAATCTATCGAATCATTATAGAGAAAGATAGGATAGAAATTATTAATTCCCGGAGAAATGGAAAGGAGTTTTACGGAGATTATTAAAAACACCTCAAAGTTTCATAAAGCAATTAAACTACCTTTAATATTTTTCATTTCGCCTTTCTCAGAAGCTATTCGATGAACTTAAATGAAATTTTTGTTCCTTCTTTGCATGAATATTAACTTCAGTTCATTCTCTTAAATATTAATAGAATGCTTTCTTGACAATGAGTTCAAAAATATAAAGGGTGAATAGAGAACCGAATCAATCAGCTTAGTTTACAAAAAAGGATTTAAATGAACACTTACCCATTAACATTCGAATGCTGTTTCTTACGACAAACGGCAAAGCAGCTTCGCTTCTACTAACATAATAGTTTGACATAATAGCCATATACAGAATGCCTACCATACGAGATAGTCCAGATAGCAGCATATTAATAACGCAAGCAGCTCCGGCTATTAACCAAGCACGAGCACCGTCCGGTGTTTCCATTTATTCAGTAATAAATTACCTTTAAATCAGAGTATATCCAACACTACCATAAAAGCTATAAGAACTTTCACACATTATCAAACGATAAATAAAATGGCATAAGAGAGCTAAAAGTTGACTTTTTATTTGACTGTTATTAATACGACTTACGTTATCCCTACTAATTAACATTGAACTCTTTGTAACGTCTCATACACGAAAAACTACTATATCTGAAAATTTAACCAAAAGTAAAAATTGTATAAAACAAAGCTACCGTGGCTCAATACAGTTGCAAACAATATACTATTTCCTTTATAAATCTGAAACCTAACAAATTCTTCTTTACCAATAAATATTCTAATTCCACGCATTTCGCGATGTGTATTGTTTCGGAGTAAAATATATATGCATAGTATGAGCATAGTGTCGTGTAGACGAGGCAAAAAAGCAGAAAAGTGAATTATTTAATGCACCCGTCACACAATACTTCAGCTGATCTAATTTCGGAATGTTCTTATGGGATGGGTCGTTCAAGTGCATAAGTCGCGAGTCTCTTAAAAGATTTTTTGAGAGCATTGGACCTATTATTAGTCCTATTTTTTTTATAAAAAAACGAATAGGATATTTGCCAAGAGGTAAATGTAATTGATCTTTTCAGATTATCTATGTTAGTAAACATATTATCTGTGTTAGTAAACATAGATAATACAGTAAGAATATTTTTAAAACAATTCCCAAAGAAATATTTTTGCGAATTAAAAATAAAACGCACAATTAAGTCTAGTTAACAACTCGCAACCATACTGGAATAAAGAAACAAATGCAATATATATATTTTAATATGTTCATCAAATTTTTATTAGTATTTTTAGTCTTTTGAAATTATTACGCGGAATTAAAAACTTTAAAGCCAGTTTAATCGCTCAAGGAACAAAAGCGGGATTTTTAAAAAGATGATTAAAGGAAACACCTTCAAGTTTCAAACAAACAGATTTAGATATTTTTAACTTCATCTTTCTCACCGTATTTAATTTATATTCTGAGAATTCTTTATAAAAATAAAATCAAGTGCGCTCATTAGGGGACGCTAATTAATATTTAAGCTAAGCAAAACTGAAATCACTATCGGAATCATACGAATTCCTCAGTGAAGGCTGAGGAAATGGAGAATATGTTTTAATGTAGGAGGAAAGAGTAAAAAGTTGAAAGGTGATTATTAAAAAAATCTACAAGTTTCATCAGGTAATCAGCTTATAATGTGTTACACCTCGCCTTCTTCAGTACTGACAAGAAAGATTTCAACAACTTGTAAGCGTGTATGTATGTATGTATGTATGTATGTATGTATGTATGTATGTATGTATGTATGTATGTATGTNTTATAAATTTTTAAACTAATTTTCTAGGTAATTTTTGAAAAACATCAAAAAATGTGTCTGCATCGAAGTGTTTCCAATATTTTGTCCAACCCCTGTATATGTATTGTTGTAGTCCATTCATAGTTAAAAAGAATTGAACACAAAAATTTTGCTTTTATATTTAATGATAAGATAAGAGTGGTAATATTTAAAAAAGAAAAAAATATTTTTAAAGAAAAAAAAAATATTATTTAAAAAATCAGTATATAATTAATTTAAAAAATATTTAAAAACATTAGCTATTTTAAAAAAAATGATAAATAAAATTATTTTTTTAAAAAAATAAGCCGGAAAACAAGATAAATACTTTTTAATATACTATATTTTTTTAAAAAATATATTTCTTTTTTAAATATTTTAGTTTACAATTTTTTTTCTCTTTTATTAATCTTTATTATTTTCCATGTTTATTCCATTTTCTTAGTAAAAAATTCACCTTTGCATATAACTTTAACATATAACTTAAATAACTAATTCAACTTAATTATAAACAACATCAAATTTTTATGCATTGCCTTTTGACGCAGATGGGGCAATAATGTCCCTTTATGGGTCGCGTTCATTTTGGCAACAATCACTTCACCGAGAACACTTCATCGACAGATTATTTCATTGACTAGGCCATTTGGTCGACAGGCCATTTCACGACAGGCCATTTCGTCGACAGGGTCATTTCGTCGACAGGGTCATTTCGTCGACAGGTTCTTTCGTTGACAGGGTTATTTTCCTCGACAATTTGTAGAAAAGGTTATTTCGTAGATAAAGTCATGCGTAATTTTGAAACTATTTTCATCATTTTTTAGATTAGACCCACTTCTTTGTAATTTAGTATATTTGTGTTGAAATTTATTAAATCTATATTGGTGTGAAATCTTTATATATAGTGTGTTGAAGTTGCCAGAAAAGAAGCATGTTATTTGAAAATTGCCAACTCCTCTATTCACATCACGTTGCAGATTTACTAAGCAATATATATCTATGATAGATTAATAAATGAATGAAAATAGAAAATTTAAGAATTCAAAATTTATTGAGTTTTAATAACAGCGCATTAGCTGCAGGTACATAAAACCCGTAATATAAAATAATAACACAAAAATGAGAAAGGAGCAATAAAGAATGTGTGTTGTTGGTATAAAACTTAAACTAAACCTGACGAACTATTTTCTTTAACTACTTAGATAAAATTAATAACAATATTATTGTAGAAGGTTTTTCACGGATTATTACCGATAATCTACCTATTTCAGATTTTATTAAACGCAACAAAATAAATCTATTAGACCTTTGATTACAAGGATCTCTCTCTAACATTTAATTTTCTAAACTGTATTTCTAAACTCCACTTTCTAAAATGTAAATATTACTGTAATTATAAATATATCGTAAATTACGAATTTAATTACTGAGAAATTCTAAATAATCTGTGCATTTTTAATTTATCTTTATTATTAAAATATACTTTTTTATTCAAATAGATCTAATTTTTCGTCACTTGCTTTCTTTTTTTTTTTTTTTTTTTTTTTTTTTTTTTTTTGTTGACATTTTCATTTAAAAAAAATGCACTAAATAATTAATTTGTTTTTAGATTGATGATGATTATTTAGATTGATGTTTTTAAATTGATGATGACTTTGGTTGATGGTTTAATTATCCTTAATTTTCACAATTGTATAATTTTGTTAAGTAATATTAACCCCGAGGAATTAATATTGCTTCTTAATCATGGCTATAATGTTACTTTTAATTTTTTTGGATTATTAAAAACGAATAAAATGTCTGCCTTGTTGACTTATACAATAATGGGAATGCTTTTAAGCTTAATACGTATAAATAAAGTAATTGTGTGAAATTATGATAGTTCTAAAAACAATTATTTTAACACTATTTTTAATCAATTAAATAGGATTAAAAGAATTTGTAGAAATATCTATTTATCAAAAAAAAAGAAAGAAACACTTTTCCTAAATTTCACTTAAAACAACGGTTATCCAGCAAATGTAATTACATTTAATACAAAATAATCGAGTAATTGAATAATACAATTAATAGAAGAATGTAATTATGTAAAAAAAATTTAGTTATCCAGATTATCATTTTTGCCTGGTGCAACTCCAATTCTAGGAAATCCAAAGCAGCTAGAAATTAAAATCCGGTCCGGTATCGTAAATAGTTTGAAATCTTATAACTAACCAACAAATCCACCAATACTCATTTAAATAATTAATCTTATTCAATTATTGTTATCAATTTCTATTCCAAAAAGGATATATTCATAATAATGTTGAATTAACCATTATAATATAACTACCTTTTCCATATCGAGTTTTTGGGCCAACGGACAAAGCAAATATGGTTTTTGACTCCTGTGTGAACGTCCCACTACCGTCTTAAAATATATCCCACTACCGTCTATTTACGCTTTAATTTCTTATTTTGTAAACTGGCCAATGTTTTTTAAACCATTTTTGCAAGTTATTCGTAAGTACATGACATATTTCTCTCTTCTAGCTTCGTATGTTCCCATTTATGTTCTATTTTGAATTTTTTTTTTCCTTTTAATTTTTATGAAACTTTGAAACTGCATATTTTGATAAATCAGTCTTTTTTTTCTTTTTAGCCATCCTTACAATGATTTGTTTCGCTTTGGCTATATTAATAGAAACTATTTTTTTTTTCGAATATAATCATGTGAACTAATGAAGCAGTTATTTCTTTCCGTTCTTAAATTTTCTAATTATTATTTTTTTTAATTAATGTTGCATATTTCTTTTTCTTTATACACACACATATATATAAGGTATAACTGTCTTTCTTGCTTAACTCATGGACGCGAGTATAATAACCACCCTTTATATGTGTTTTTAGAGTCCTTGTTTTAACGGGGGGGGGGGAGGCAATTGAATTCTCCCATTATTAAATTAAAAATGTGCACAGTATTTTTTTTTAAATTTAAAAGCTGTCATGGTTAATAATAAAAACATATGAAACATTAAGATGAGACTTTGTGTACTTAACTTATTAAATACTTATTTACAAACGAAAATTTATCCGTCAAAATACGGACTTATTTAACTTGTAGCGCCATTCCATCAATATCAGAGTAGTGCTAATTTTGGAATTTTCTTAGAGTGAGTATATCGAAATAAAACTTAACAATTACAGAAATAGGCAGCTGAAAGCGTTTATGCAGCTGCAAATCAATCCATCAATTGATAGTTAGTTGTTGTTCTTATCAGAGTTTCGAGATCCATTTATGTTTTTGCATCTATTTTCTATTCATAATAAATGCTTTTTTTATTGGTAATTAATTTAACTACTACTTATCAGTTTTGTTGATTCAAAAACTTACCGCACAATTAGTGATTATGTTTCAGTATTATTACAAAACCTCATACCTATAATATTTAGCTAAAAATAGTTAATATTTCTAACTTAAATGTTAAAATTTTTATTTAATTATTACAAACAAATCATCGGGGGATAGACATAGCTATTTTTATTCTACCTCAACATTCTAATGAATTTTAAGGACAAAGAGACAATTTATTAATTAGATATCCAATGAAGAGGTTATTTGAAGTTACATATTCTCCTGGAACGGGTCTTTTTTCAATACTGATATGAACCAACTACGTAATCAAATTGTTTGTACAACCCTTGTATTCAAATAAAAATTTAATAGTGATTTTAATCATTATCTAAATCAAGGGTACCCAGAATATTCAATCTTCTTTCGGCGGAACCCTGACCTTATAAATAAAGTTAATTAAGATCATTATGAGCATTATAACCTGTAGAATAGTTTTAAAATATTTAATTAGAGGATGAAGATTTTCTATCTTTTAATCACTAATAATCTTAAATTAGGCTTTATGTCCAACACAGTTAAATTTACCATCCTTGTGATATATCTAGTCCAGTTATGAATTTGTTTTTGATGTATATGCAGTAGCTCGAAATGTATTAAAAAAAGTCGAATTATGCTTTTTCTTTGAAATGAGAACTTTAAAGAACTGCAATAAATGTTAAGGAAACATATTTCTTTATTAAAGAATTAAGTTATTTTATTTTGATTTCAAAAGTGTGATCGGAAATACTAATGCAATATTTTATAAATGCTTGTTCTTTTCATAATTTGTTCAGTGTATTGTTAAAAATATTATATTTTATTTTAAAAAATTCAATTTATATTTCATTGACTTTTCACTTGAAAAGTTTTACAAAGGCAACCAAAGGATTAAATAAATTGTGAATTATAGGTTAGATCTAAATATAAGCAGAGTGTTTAAAACTTACCACTATAAAAAGTATATTACAAGAAGTACTAACTCGCAGAACCCCTTTAACTCTTCACCTTAACTTAAAGGTTGTGCGGAACACCATTTGGAAACCCTGCTTTAGCAATAATTCATACAGTTTGCTTTGTAGTGTTCATATTCAGTGTCTTAAAATTATAGCAAAAAGAGGTTCTTTAACCTTTCTTTTATTTATTTTTTTACCAGTTGAAAATAAAACCTTCTTTCACTCCAAAAAAGCTCAAAGTGCTTTCGATCCCTGAGATCTATGAAATTTAAAGACTTGATAAAAAATAACAATAATGTTGTTCAGTTTTATAAGACTTAAATATTATCTTCCCTATGAAATATCAATTTTGAAACTTCTTCCACTATTAATATTTTCTAGAGGATTATTGAAAAAAAATTTTTTTTATTATTTAAAGATCTTTTAAATTAGTAAGTACCCTTTAGGAAAAAGGCGAACTTGGTACATATCATGGCAAGCCTGTTCTTGCCAGATTGACAATTTTATGAAACTACTAAACTAATGCCACAATAATGTTCACAAGTATTGAATCCTCAGTACTTTTGTACATTTGGTACAAAGATACAAAGAACAATTACTTTAAACAAAATGAATTAGATCATTTTTATCTGATATGAAGTTGGTTTCAAAGGAAGTTGAATTGTAAAATTTATTAATAATCACTGATATCTCACAATTTTTTGAAACTTTTTCAGAGTCCAAAATTTTACCTTAAAATATTGATATAATTAGACACAAAATACACTAATACTACTTTTTTTCTTCTTTTTTTTTAGATTATAAATGACATTACATTACTTGGTTATAATTAAGAGTTAGCTTTCTTCCAATACTCTGTGTAGAAAACCAGGAGCTATTGCGTAACATCTCCAGCTTAAAGTCAATGAACTTAGCGATGGAAACAAATAGACTAATTGGCAGACTCTTCTTTGAAGAATCAGAGTAAATTTAAATCCTTTTTTTTTTTACTGCTCTACTTAATCAGTTGCCAGTATGTCACAAACCACAGAGGATGAGTCAGAGCCTCTAGGCCAAACTAAACTTAAGTTATGTACTCTCTGTAATAAAAGTTTCTCTTGCTTAAAGAGACATGAAATTGTTCATAAAAGGGAAAATCCACATTCCTGTAATATATGCAAGGAGAGATTTTGTCAAAAGGAAGATTTGAAGAAACACTGCCTCGATGTCCATGCTGAAGAAAGATCATATTCTTGTGAAATCTGTAATAAACCTTTTGTGCAAAAATCTAGTTTAAAGGTACATTATCGAGCTGTGCACGCTAAAGAAAAACCCTTTTCTTGCGAAATTTGTAATAAGACTTTCTCATATACAGGAGATGCAAAGAGACATTTCGATACTGTCCATGCTAATGGGCATAACTACTCATGTGAAGTATGCTGTAAGAAATTTTCACGAAAATACAATTTAAAGGTGCATTGTCTTAGTGTCCATGCTAAAGAGGAGCCTTTCTCTTGTGATATTTGCTTTAAAACTTTTTCTTATAAAGGAAATTTAAAAATACACTATGATGCTGTCCATGCTAAAAAGCAGCCGTACTCTTGTGAAAAATGCTGCAAGACATTTTCTTTGAAACACAATCTAAAGATGCATCATCGTACTGTACACGCTAAAGACACACTTCTCGCTTGTGATATGTGTGATAAGACTTTTACGTGTAAAGGAAATTTAACGAAACATCTTTCCTTGAAACACTTAGATGCTGTATGTGCTAATCAGAAGCTATATTCTTATGAGTTTGTCACTTAAAAATAATTGGTTATTTCTGTCTGTGCTTGATAAATACCTTTAAATTTATGTTAAAAGTCATTTTAAAAAAATATGCTTTAACAATATGTTCTCTTAACACTTGTATTAAATAGGAGCCTGTCTCTTGTGACTTCTGTAACAAATTTAAAAATACAATTTGTTAAGTGTAAGCAGGAGGTGACTTACAGAATTTTTCAGAAAAGTTTTAAAAACTTCAACTTAAAAATGAATGATTGTGAGGAGTATAACTTAACCAGAATGAAAAAACTGCATGCATTCCTTTTAGGCAGGGTTGCCAAAAATCTGGATTTTTTTTTTATTGTATTTTTTTATATTTAAATCAGACTTTTGTATATTTTTCATCAAAGCTCTGTTAGTTTATATTGTTAATGCCTGACACTTTTTAAGAAAACAATTCTGTAACAAATTATGCAACAATATTATTCCTAGTTGTATACAATAATTATTACAAACTAATCACGGAAAAAAAGTAAAATCACAATTGTTTTTCTTCAAATTTAATACTTTCTTGAATACTCATAAAAGTATTGAGCTTGAATAAAAACAACATATGAGATAAAAACAAAGACCCAATATCAAATTAAGAATGATTTAATTTAAATCTGGAAACATAAATTATTCTAAATTACTATTGGACAAAAAGGACTTTTTGACATTCTATTCCAAAAACTGCATGTTTAGTAAATTTTATAAATATTTGTATTTAAATAAATATAAAGCTAAATTGATATAATTGAAATATGTTTTTTTTTTTTTATATATATATAAAAATAACAAATTATTTGACATGCAACTAATGGATAGTTATAATTTAAAATTTCACATACTTAAATCCACATTTAATCTTTTTTTTTTCTTTTTTTAGCCTATTTTGAAAATTAATAACAATATAAATGTGTATAATATAAATGTAATACATCACCCTCTCAGTATTTTTCTGATTAAAAATTTTTAATATTAATGACATTAAGTTAAGGTATAATGACATCCACAATCTTAAGAATATATTTAAGCAATATCCTAAATAAAAATAAACAAAAATATTTTTCACGTAAATTAAGGTTTTTTTTTTTTTATTGAAAAAATCAATTGATTATTAATTTAAAAAGATCAAGAAATTTAAGTCATGCCAATCCTGCTTATAGGTAAACTAAATTTTTATGTCAAAATAATTTACTCCATATTAAGCCTAAAAATATTTGTGATTTACAAATATTCCCTTCAGATCTAAAGCATCATTCAACCCTCTATTTTTAATTTCAAGATATTTGATTTAGTATTATAAGTCAAACCCTTGATCCACATTTGCAAAAGCACAACTTTGTGTAGATGTATATAAACATTAGAGAATTCCAGTTATTTCTATTATAGATGGTCTGACTTTTGCTATATCTATGTTTGTACTATATGTTATTTAAATGTTATTGCAACTGATATTTACTATAGCTAAAACATTATCATAGACTCTTCATTTCATCTTTCGTCATATTTATAGACACAATCGTATGTGACAAAAATTTTATTTTGTAACATGCATGTTTCACAAAGTTTTTGAGAAACTATGCTTCAACAACTAGAGATCGTACATTCTTGTTAAAGCTAATTTCTTGTTTATGTAACAGGAACCTACTGTAGGATTTTCACACATAGTCTTTCATGAGTTATTCTTCTATTATTTAATCTAGTGAATTTCTAAAATTAAGTTTTTAATATTGTAGCTTAAGCTTAGCTTGATAGTTATAATTCATTAGTTATGTTTGAGGAAATTATATTAATTTATTTTTGTAGGAAAAAAAATCTTGTTGTATATGATTTATTTAATTGTTTGTGAGGATAAAATTCTAATAAATAAATTTTCATGAGATTGTCTGTTGTTCTAGTGAATTTCTAAAAATAAATTTAAATTATTCTAGTTTATTAATTAACTTAATTTGACAGTTATAACTCATTATGATATGTATATATGATTAAGGGAATTATTACCTTTTTTTATTTTATTTATCAAGAGAAATCTTATGATATGCATTGTGTTCTGTAAGGAACGCCCTTAATATGCATTTTTAGAATCTATACCTAAAATTAAATCAAGGTTTTCACATTGGGGGTTGCAAATAAATATTTAAGCAATGAAAAAACGAAACCGCTATCGAAATCTGACAAATTATAGTACAGGATGCATCCGTAATAAACATCGAAACTGTTTTAATTGAATGCTGAAACTTAAAGGTGATTCTAATAATCGACCTTCAATTCTATGTTTTCTCCATCAAACCTTTCTTGCTTTTTATCACATTCACCCTCTTGTTCAGTGATTTGTCAGATTTCTATTACGGTTTTGCCTTCCCTTGCTTAAATGTTAATTAGAAACCTCGATTGTATGTACTTTTAAGATAAGGTTTCTAAATATACACATTAAGAATGGTCTTTACGGAACACCTTGCGTAATAAAAGATTTTTTTTCATAAATTTATAAATTACTTTTTTGTTTATACTGATGAAATTTTAATAAAAAAATATTTAATACATTCTAATTGAGTTGACAAAACCCAAGTAACGATTAAACTTAACCATTTTAAAAAGATAAGGTACATAATGATCTATAAAATAAAAAAATTTATTGATTTTGCATAATACGTTTAACATTTTAAAATAAAATTATTTCTTTGAATTGGTTAGTATTATTTACTTTTCTTTGAATTAATTCTTATATTTTAACCATTACAATCAAATAACTGAATTTGTCTTGTATCGAAATTCTTAATCTCTGTTAATTCCCTCAATATACAACAGCTCATATTAATTGCATGCCATAACATTGTTTCTTCTTGATGGTGGTTTCTCTCCATCATTCCATATTTTCCGTGCCAAATAGATCTTCCAGTTCTCTTTGAGTGTAACACAATGGCATTGTCAGTGGAACAATGAAGAATAATAATCCTGCAAAAATATTAATTCCTCCCAGAAGCAAAAATAGCTCGTCATAAGAGCCCGCATTGTCTCTAAAATGACCTGGAGGAAAAAAAATTAAATTTTACATTTAAGTCTACCTTAACTTTCGTTAGACAGTCAAAATTAAATGGTGATTATAAACGCAAGTCCAATTATTTCAAAGAACAGCATAACGAGCTGTATTTCTTTTATTGTTTATTTATTATTTGTTGTTAGCTCCCGTGAATGTTTACTCGTGATTTACATAAGTCAGAGATGGCAAGGCTTAGGACAGAATGTATCCACGATTTAAATCGTCCTGCTCAAAACCCCTTTGTTCAAATTATGTCACAATTTTAAAAAAAAATAATGTGAAAAATAAAAGGTTGATTATTGAACAAGAAATAGACAAGTTTTTGTTTTATTAAAAATGTTTATTATTATTTTTAATAGTGTGTTTATTTATCCTTATGCAAAAACATAATTTATCAGTATTAAAAGCATATTTAAGGGATAAGGTATTCACTTTTGTTGTTCAATGATTTATTTAGCTTCAAAAATAATAAATCTTTTCTTATTATATTATCTTTCTTTAATACGTTAAAGCAAATTGTATAAAAAGTATCAAATATTTATGAATACATGTAATTATTATATGTACAATGGTTACACGTATAGAATTTTTACCTTTTACCAATGTTTAAGGTTTTGGACGCTTTAAGACAGTTTTAGTCAGTTTAAGACAGTAAAACCCATGTGTCCAAAACCAGTTTAGGACGTCCAAAACCCCAACTCTGAATAAGTAGTAATACTTCAATTATTTAAAAACATGCTGTGCTTTTTACACCAGATAAGATTTACCAGTTATAAAAAGTGTTCTATGAATGTTAAATGTCAAAGAGAATTTAAGGTATGTGATATCCATAAAGAGATTTCAGTCAGATTTAGAGGGTGTTCGATAAGCTCTCCTACATTATTTATCATATACATTAGCACCTGTGTGTAGAAGAATGGCCCTGATAGACTTACCCATCATTAATGGCATGACTAATGTTAGAAATCCAGCCATGAATCCTGCTCCTCCAATGGCCAAACTCTGTATGTCGTGGTGAACAAACTTGTAAAGTATAACAGGAAAGAGGACCATACCACTTCCGGTAGCCATTCCATATATAAATAAATTTAACATAAATACGTAAAACAGATTTGAGACAGGAAACAGAAGCATGAAAAATCCCTGAAGTAAATACAAAATCATAATGAATGTACTTTCCGAGAGAAACTTCTTGTCAGTGACCCAACCAAAGCAAGTCCTTCCTGTAATGAATCAAATATAATTTTAAAGTTCATATTGCATTTAGTACAAATATTTTTTAAAAAAGTCTGACAATAACTAACAATAGTTGTTGAATCAAGAAGAAAAAAAATCCGAGATTTCTAATTTGTCAGTATATGAAGATATTATGATTTTTAACTAAGTATTATTAAATAGTACACATAAAAAAAATGTCTGACACTAACTAACGATATTTGGTGAATCAAAAAACAAAAATGTCCATCTTTTCTAATGGATCAGATATGGGAAGATGGAGATTATTAACTAACTAAGTACTATTAAATAGTACATATAAGTAAAAAAACTAACACTAACTTACGATATTGGTTGAATCAACAACAAAAAAAATCCGACATTTCTAACTTGTCAGTATCGGATATGGAGATATTAAGATTATTGACTAAGTGTTATTAAATAGAACATGTAAAAAAATGCCTGGCACTAACTAGCAATATTTGTTGGATAAAAAAAAAATCCGATATTTCTTAGGGGTTAGTATTGGATGTAAAGAGATGGATATTATTCATTTGTATTAATTTAATAAATTATTTATAGTTAATAATCATTTATTAACTAAGACAAAAGTGTTAAAACTGATTAATATTGGTTAGTTTTTGGAATTTTTTCCTTAAATTTTCTAGAAATATTGTATGAATTGTTCTGTAACTTTATATTGGGTGCCCTATGATTATTTAGATAAGCTTTAAAGTGAGGTAGGGAACATCGCAAGGATTCGGATTTGCCTAGCAACTCATGGTTGGAAACGTCTTCGTTCGTCGTTAAGTGGTGTTAATACGATGAATTAGACTGGTTCCCTGGCCACCATACTCTCCTGATTTAAGCAACAAGGACTTCGTTTCTTTGGGATGCACTGCAATGCACACAATACCAGTTGATTCCGAAATGGATCTAGTTTAGACAATCGTCTGTACTACGGCGGATATTTAACAGAATCCAGATGTATTTGAGAGAGTGTGCCAGTCCATGGCTCGACGGTGTAACGCATGAATCGCTAGCAATGGTGGAAACTTTGAACATATTTTGTGACACTTTCACATAGTCTTTAACACAGCATATGTAATATCTTTGACAGATAGATATTTCAGATGATTTCAGTCTTTGTTTCTTGTATCTGTCATGCTACTTTCCCATGACATTTAAGACCATGGGTTGCTATGCAATTCTGAATCTTTGCCATGTTCCCTACCTCTCCTTAAAGTTTGCCACAGTAATCCTGGGACACCCTGCATAACGTTTAGTAGGTCATATAATTATCCGCACTTTTTAAAGAAGATAAAGTCATAAGGGGTCACATCTGCCATCTCTTTTACCTTTTAGCGACATCATACTTACTGTGAAACATTTTCACTTTAGTTGCAGGCTATGAGTTTATATGACAAAAAAACTACCAAAATCATCCAAAAAATTAACGTTTCTATGTAATAAAATCAAATAAAAGCGGAAGATATGAACTCGAATCTTTAGTTATAACTACTTTTCATTCATACATTCATACTTTAGTTATACTACTACTACTAACCATTTTTCACTACTGTCACCAGACCTGTCAAAGCACTTATTCTAATTTTGGACCAGTTTTCCAATCCCGAAGCTACCACCAAGGAATTGAGCCAGAATGTCATTTCTTGTTTGATTTCATCATCGCTTGTGAACTGCTTCCCAAATAAAAACGATTTGAGTTTCGTTGAAAATGAAAATTACTTGGTACCTAGAGAGATCTCTCTAAATTTTGGCTTTCAGCTCATCTGTGGCGTGTGATGACCTCTAACTAGTTGCATCTCTTTACGCCCCCGTGGCATGTGAGACCACAACCTCTCCGCTACTAGGGCTGCTTCTCTAACCAGTCAACAACGGACCCACACGTAGGACGCATGTTTTAGTTATGAATGAGTTGAAAGAAAAAGTTACGTAAAAGACAAATCTCATGACGCAAGGAGCGGTTCCAAGCGATTTTCTTTTATTTCCGAAACTGAAAATACTTTCAAATGAAAAACAGTCTACAAATGATGATAATAAACTAAGTTTATTAGTGCTTCTTGTTCTAATAAAAATAATAGAGATGATTTTATGATTTGTGTCTAGCGCGGAATAATGGAATTCCCTTTCAAGATATAGTCGCCCTTAATTTGAAACATTTCGACATAAGGATTGTTTTCCAATTGAATCTCCCATTGCAATACATTAAATATATAAATAGCATGGGATGATGGACTCCTCTTATTAACTGAATAGTGAATCAGAATCTGAAACACTGTGATGTAAAGAATGCTTTCCAAATCAAACCCCATAGCATAGATAAGGATATAAATATCATGGAAGGATGGTCTGATCAATAGAATAGAATATCTCCTGATCGATAGAATAGTCAATCAGAATCTGAAGCAGTGTTTTCCTATTCCATTCCCCATGGAAATACACTAAGAACATGAATAGCACGACATGATGAATACTCATTATCAACAGAATAAGTCAATCAGAATCTGAAGCAGTATGTCATAAAGTTTGTTTTCCGATTCGATTCCCCATGAAAAAACACTAAGGACATCAATAGCGCGAAATGATGGACACTCATTATCAACAGAATAGTCAATCAGAATCTGAAACACTACTGCAAAAATATTATTTACCTATTAAATCCCCTATAGACAATATATTAAGAAGGTAAATAGCATGGAATGATGGAATCCCTTTATCAACAGAATAATCAATTAAAATTTGAAGCACTGCGACATAAATAATCTGATAACTTGTAACACTGATGCATATAATGATGTACATTGGATTTTTGTATAGTAAGATCAACGTCTTGAGGCTTTCCGTGAACGACAACTCATTCAACTTGGCAGAATCATCTGAATGGGTGTCCGAACTCTCGCTGTCTTCTTCCGTGGGCCGGGAGAAAAGTCTGGACTGGAAAAAAGAATTTCATAATTGTAAATTTTTCACGTTTAAAAAAAAATAATACTATTTTTAAGGAGCATTGTTACAAAATTTCAACCATTTGGATATCCTTCATTATTTGTATGTGCATGGTGTTCCTAATCACCACTTTAATATACGGGACAAATAGAAGGAAAAAAGCTTGGCCAACTGCTGATAAAGAGAGTGAGATTCAATGCATCGAAACCTGTGACAATATGCCTAATAACTAAGTCCCGGATTTTGATGACATTTGCATTTTTGGACATTTTTTGTCTTTTAGAGCATTTTTTAAAATTTATAGGGCATTTTTCCTTAAATTTTGGGGCGTATTTTGCATTTTAATGCATTTTTTAAAGTTTTTTGTTAATTTTTTCCAATGTTTACTATTTTTTATCAATTTTCATTATTACACTGGCTTTCAAACAATGAAGAAAATCTATAGAATATTAACAGGTGAAGCAAAATCTTTTCAAATTGAAGAAGAATTGTAAGTAAGTGAGACCGTCTTTATCAAGTACGCACCTATAACATCAGTAGACGTTGAAAGAAGCTTCTGCAGGAATGAAAATTTACTTTCAGACAAGAGACGCTCGTCTACATTTCAAATTATCAAAAAAAATTTAATAATCCAATGTAATTCTGATATTTAGAAATATTATGAGATGGAAGTTGTTATATCCATTAAAGTTTCTATACAAAATAAAAATATTTTGGTGTCAATATATTTTCCTTTTTTTGCTATTTTAGGATATAAAACATATTTTTCAAACTTTAATGAACGTAGAACAAGTATTGCATTGCTTTATATTTTTTAAATGACTCATAATAATTTTAAAGACCAAAATATTTTTTGATTCAATATTTTTACTTTATTTAAGGCATTTTTTGCGTAATTTTTGCATTTTTAAGGGTAAGGGCATTAGTTGAGATTTTTTAGGTCATCAAAATCCGGGCTCTACTAATAACAATTAGATTTCAATTTCATCTATTTGTAACTTAAGACTTTGCAGTATCCACGTAAAGTTGAAGGGGCTGTGATATTCTTAAGAAATTAAAATTATCTCCGTTCAATTAAAGTTCTAATTAAGAAATTCTTCTATAAACATGGAATCCGATTTCAACTAAAAACAACTGATATACTCTTTTATTTAATTTAATACCTTTTTAAAAAAACAAATGAAAACGAGATATTTAAACTTTTTAAATTTTCCTTCACATTCTTTTTGTTCTCTCTAAAAACATTGAATTAATAATAATCTATCTTATAAACTATAGCTGTCTAAATTGGTATTTAATTACGTTTGATTTAGTACTATATGAGTGTGTAAATATTGACAAACTTCAATTTAACCCAGTAATGCTCATAATTTTTTTCTAATCTAAATAAAATATGCTTTAGGGGGCCTGGAAAGTAATGTTATTTCAGTACATTAAATATTCGTTAGTCTTAAAAACCACTTCATTTTTTTCGATTTGGCATTTAAAGGTTGTTTCTAACGTGGGTGAATACATTATTGATTTAAAATAAAATCCTGATAACAAATGTCAAATGCATCGACACGACATTACTTTTCGGTCTCCCTAACAATTAAACATCTAAATTAATAATATTTACTTCATTATTTAATTTAAATTGAAAGATTATACATTGAATTTATTTTCACTCAAGTGCTAACAATTTTCACGTGATAGCAACTTTTATAAAAGTAATTGTGAAAAAAGAATTTGAAATACAATATCATTGATCAGAAATTTTCAAAAACTTAATTTCGGTTAAAAGTATTTTGTAACGAAATTGTTCAAGAATATTATTGTTTTGAAATTATTATTAATAAATGTTTTTTTTTCTGAAAAAAAAAACTCTTTTTAAGGCGGAATTAAAAAATTTTTGTCTTGCAAAGTGGGTGGTGAGACAAAATAAACCTGGAAATTTACATGGACTCAAGTCAGAAAGAAGCAAAGTTTATGTAACAGATAACCCGAGTGTAATACGAGAGTGATACCTAATATTTTAAATAATAATAACTTTATGAAGATTTAAATAATTTTACATAAATTTATCGAAATCGTAGTTTTGTTTTCGTTATGCATCACTGGCGTAACTATTTAGATACCATTGGTTTAAAATGATTTTTTCCCCTCACCTTAAAGAAATTTTTTATTTTGGAAGGTGTTTCAGGCAAATTCTCTATATTTGGTAGACTCAGCGTGCCATCAAATTCGTCAGAACTTATAACAGTGTCGGTGTCAGACAAGTTTAAATTTTCAAGACTTCTAACTTTTTTCAACTTCCAGGGGCATTTTCTTCTAAATGTCATAAACTTCATCTCCTCGATAAGATTGTTCGAAAATCCGGTGATTCCAGACCGATCGATTTTGGGAATTATCATTAGTCTGCTGAGTTGTATAGCTGATTTCAAGGGATGAGCAGCATCATGCTTTTCTGCCTTGTGCATTCTGTCAACTAGAAGGGGAGATTTCGGTCAAAATTTTTGCAAGCGACATCACGGGTGTGCGTCTAACCTGATTTGATGACCCACGCATGACGTCGCTTGTAAGAATCCAATTAGGTATGTAAATTTTTGGTACAAGAGCTATAGTTTCGCTATACCGAGCCCAGCATTGGCTTGTAAGAAAAAGAAAACGAACCGAATTATAGTTCGATTCAGTTCTTAACACAGTGTCAGAAAGACCAAGTTTGAGAGAAATATCGCAAAGTAAAATAAACGTCTCTTCTTTCTCTCTCACTCACTTTTTCGCAACACAAACTGGACAATTTTGAAGCTGCTCTTTGTAACAACGCAAACTAATTTAGATACAGAGTCACGAATTACTAGAGCCCTTGAATTACTAATCTAAAAGTAAACCAGTGAAATTTCTAACTACGTATAAAACTCTAATGATGATGTCACAGTTTTCCATTGTTTACAGTACATTTTAATTGGTTCGAAAATCTCATAATACGATCCAGTGTTTTCCCACAATAATTTCCATATTGGTTTGGTTTGCTTCAGCATAACGTTAATGAAAGTCATAAAACCATTGTTTTCATGTAAAAAGTTTCGTATCCGAAATATAAAGGTATTTACCTGTAATATTTACTTTTTTTTTTATTTTACTCCACTATTATTACGACTATCACTGTTTTCTAAATTTAAAGATAACTTAGAGAGCTGTTTCTTTATTAAAAGGTAATTTTATGATATTACCTCAAAGGGAGAGTAGCAATCGACAACATCTTCCCTTCATCCATCTTCATTCATTCATCTCTCTTCATTCGTTCATCAACCTTCTTCTACCTCAAGATTGAATCGAGTTAGTATGTCTTATATACTAGTGAATTGATATTTAATAGTGGTATTGGTAGTTATGCCACAATACTCCTCCACCAGAATTTTATAAGAGATTGAATTCGATGAACGGATACCACTAGTTGCCGTATTTGTGAAAGACCGGGAGAGCCGTGTTAAGTTCTACGGATTTTGAAGCGCTTGTGGTGAGAGCTGTTCGTTGAGTTTTATCCCTGATAAAATTCTGGTGGGGAATTATTGTAGCGTAACTACCACTATCATTATTAAATATTAATTTACTAGTATATATGACAAGCTAACTTGATTCAATCTTGAAGTAACACTTGATATATGAAGGTTAACATCGTCGATAACACTTTCCCCACATTGATGACCTGCGGAAGTGAAATGAACACACGATGAATGGTCCACATCGAACAGTTGATTTGCTATTTGTGACTACGTCATTATCCTCTTCACGCTATTGCTGTCTCATTTACACACAACTAAATCCTGCATTCACTCGACTGCTAATAGCATCACAGGAGAGACCACACACACAGCCGTGAACTTAATGCAGCTCTCACGACAAACGCTCAAAACCCGGTGAACTTAATACAGCTCCCACCACGAGTGCTCAAAATCCGGTGACCTTAATACAGCTGTCCCGGTCTTTCACAAATACGGCAACTAGTGGAATCCGTTCATCGAATTCCATCCCTGATAAAATTCTGGTGGAGGAGTATTGTGGGGTAACTACCACTACGATTATTAAACATCAATTCACTAATATGTAAGACATGCTAACTAAAATCAATATTGGGGTACCTTTTGATAGATGAAAGTTGGCAAAATCGAATGCTCATTCCCCACAACCTTATTACGCTACATTATAATATATAAACTTATTTGAATTGGTGTCTAAATTTATTAACCCTTTTACGATTATTTTTCGGAGTAAATTACATAAATATGCTATTATAAATTCCGGTTAAAGTGATTTGTTAAATGATTTAGATCTTAACCATCAGCTTCGAGCACATTATGATTCATGCACGAATCGTATTTAATAAAGCATCTTCTCTGGAAAACGAAAATAATAATAAATTACCCCTAATTTGATGTCATAATATACCTTTAGTTTTTAATGTTATTTTTAAAAAATTGATTTCCAGGCAAAAATATTAATATTCACTTACAGATCGTAATAGAATCATAAGAGGAATAGAATCATGTAAAGTTTGTCATACTATTTTACTGATAAATCAGTGATTACGTGGAAAGGTAAACATCCGTCCTTAAATGCGGAAATTTGGTGTATTAACCAGAAGCTATATCTGTCCATTTTTGCTGTTATATTCCGTTCCTTACCTAGATTTGGTTGAGGATTTTCGATTCACCCTTGTGGACTACTTGCTAAATTTCCATATTATACGTGGACTATCAATACCAATTAAATTTGACTAGTGCTAAGAATTATTACGAAGCAATCATCGGGGTCGGTGAGTGGCAGCGAAAAGGAAGCTCAATCCCCTAGAAAATACAGATAATGACACTATAAACTATACTTAATTCTTCATATTTTTGAGGATCCTTTATCCATAGTGGTTCGCGCAACATCAAGCTTAGTGGCAAAACATGCAGAGTAATTCCAGCCAAAATCAAAAATGTTCCAGCAAGACCATAATGCTTCACGAGATAGTTAATTAAAAAAGGCAGGGTCATGCTTCCGACACAGCCACCAGAAATTGATATACCGGCTGCTGTAGCTCGATATTTCACAAAGTATTCATTCACAGACACTCTGAAAAGGGTATTAGACAATGAACAACCTAAACCTGAAATAAAATACTATCATCAAAGAAGTTAAATGAACCAGTTAACCATAAAACAGTTTGCTGCAGAAAATAGTATGTGATTTCTGTGTTTTTATTGTAGTTATTGTACGCTATGGCTATGGCACATAAAGAGAAAGAATCGTAGGCTTAAGGGTTGTTTTTTTTAGAACTAGTAAACCAAATTTTCAAATTTTGCCCCTAAGTTACAACTTTCTATCAAATTTCCGTTTTTTCATTAACTTGCAAATTTCAAATTAGATGGTTGGTTGACTCTAATACCACTTGCCACACGAACAAGCCTGCTTGGTGAAACCGAGCAAATTTATGGCAGATTGTGCGATTCTTGTTTTTCAGTGGCGCTATCTATGGCTGAGAATTCGACTTCTGCCACACCATACGTCACACCTGTTTATAAGGCAGGCCCATTCATGCATTCATTCATTCATCCACAGATCGTAATTTTGACCTAAATCAGAGAACGATCGATCTCCAATCCAGTATCCCCAGCGGTATTGATTTGTTATGGGAACATGGAGGACTTTGCGACTCGACAGAATTTTGACGTGCATCAGTCACCAACCACACGGGGAGCCTTCGGCCGGCGGGGTTCGAACCCACGAACTCTCGGACATGGGCCCAGCGCCCTACCGACCAGCAAAATTAGATAATCCTGGGGAATGTTTTTTTTCTGTTTTCTGCTGCACGAGATTTTTGAACGTATCTTAGATATTTTTGAATTGCTAATGTCATATCTGCAACCATTTTCTCTCTGCAAATTACAGTTTTCATGCAATTTAAAATGTTATATTCCTAACCACGATATTTTTTAATTTTACTCGAGTAAATACTCCCCAATTATCTGTTGCATAGGAAGTGGTAGGAAAAAGGCGGTAGTCTTCTTCTTTATTAGCACTACAGGCCAAGGCTTTCTCCGTTTACTTCCCTCATACGGTTCGATTTACTGCAAAATTACTCCACCACTTTATTCCCAACACTCTCAATTCCTTCTTTACGCTACCCAGCCATCTCGTAGGCGGTCTGCCTCTTCTTATTGTACCCTCGGTCTTTCAGAAAGTCCGTTTTTGGCTGAAATGTGTTCCTACCATGTGTCCCAACCCAGCGTCAAATGAGCCCCAATCATCCGAACTTGTAGGACTTATTTACTCATAAAATGTTAGGTTATTTATATTTATCATTTATTTCATGATTATATTAACTTCTCCAGAAGTTTTTCTTTTCCATTAACAGCTTTAAAAATTGGCCGAAGAATCTTTCTTTCAAAAATGAGCAATCTATTTTCTTTATATTTATTGATTTTCCAGTGTTCGTAACCGCAACCATACAAGACAATTTCGACTTTAATTGGTTCCTCTGTCCAAAATAACATATATATTTGCAAACTAAAGTAACTTCAGCTCCTAACTTCAGCTTTAATATTATTATTGTTGGTAATAAGTGATCAGTGCGCGTGGTTAGGCCACTTGCACTGAGATAAATTAAAGTAAAATAATTTACGTTTTTTTGCTAAAAAGAAAAGAAATAATTAATTAATAAATAAAACATTGTAAAATTAAAATGCCAGCCATAAAATAACAATTAACAACATTTAATAAAAAAATAAGAAGATTAAATAAATGCTACATAAAAAGCCAGGCCGAAAATGCNCCGATATAGGCGTTAAATCGATATGTCGCGATATATCGATTTATAGCCCAGTCCTAGTCATAACTAATAGAGGAACTCGCCAAATGGAAGAGCGGGTTCCCAGAAAATGTTCGTTAATCGTTACACTGGCGCAGGTCGCTGCAAGTGTACCTATGGACTTAAACTATATAGGGCTTGAATTTATTTTAATTTTATTAACTACAGCCTTGCTGTCTAGCTAAACAAAATTATTATAGTACATTCTGTAATGTAATAGTATTAAGTATAATAGTACAGCAGTATAGTATTGTAATAGTATATGAGAAATAATAACTATGACAATCCTTTTAAAAATTAAGTGAAAAAAAGCTCAACACATTAGGGATAGCAAATTTAAATTTTACCGGAAAGTGAACAAAACTTCTTTCAAATTATGACCAATTACCATTGAGGTTAATATGGGAAAGGGAGGAATTAAAATCATCTGAAACAAATATGTTTGGGGATGAGACTTAAATACAATTCCCGGTTAAAGATGAATGTATTCCTTTCCTATGGGACAAATAAATTGGATTAGATCTTGCTCTCTTTTAACCTCAATAACAAATGGTCACAGTTATGAGACATTTTTTTCTAGATAGAATATACTAATTAGCAACTCCTAATGTATATATATATTTTTTTACTTCATTTTTTCATAATAATTTGAACAATTTAGATATTAAGGATGGTCGTTGTTGAACATCTTGTGCATAAAATCCTTGGGAAAAAATAGATTTTTTGATTACCTACCATAAAGTCCTCCCCAAAAAGCGGCCATCCATATAATGTCAGGAGCAACAAAGCAAAGAGCCACACCTATTGTTCCAATCAATCCTCCCCAGAAAGTTGCACTTCTTACACCGTAGCGTTGACCAACTATTCCAACAAAAGGACCTTTAATATTAAAAACAAAACTGTGTAAAATCATTGTTAGGTTTATTTAATTGTATTGTTTTCCATAGTCTCGGCCGTTAATGTATATTTAAAAAATCTGAGGGATAAGAGTTATCGACAATACCAATCTTCTTCTATCAAGAGGTGCCCAAAGATTGAATCGAGTTAGTACGTCTTACATACTAGTCATATACTATACTACACGTCTTATATACTTGTCATATAATATACTACACGTCTACTTCACTGAGCGGCTTACATACTAGTCATATATATACTATACTACACGTCTTATATAAAAGTTACTACCAGAATTTTATCAGGGATAGAATTCGAAGAACGGATACCATTAAGTTGCTGTATTTGCGAAAGATCAGGAGAGCTGTGTTAAGTTCACCGAGTTCTGAGCGTTTGTCATGAGAACTGTTCATGGCTGTGTGCGTTCTCCTTTGTTGCTATTAGCAGTCGAATGTGTGCGGTTGTGTGTAAATAAGATTGAGAAGCAATAGCGGAGGAGGAAGCAGTGACAAATAGCAAGTCAACTTTTCAATGTGAACCATCCATCGAAGTAAGCGTGATCATATCACGTCCACAGGTCAAAAAATGTGAGGATATATATTATCATCAAAGTTAATCTTCTTCTATCAATAGGTACCCCAAGATTGATTCGACCGAGCACGTCTTATACACTAGTGAATTGATGTTTAATAAATGTAGTGGTAGTTACGCCACAGATCCATTTCGAAATTAAAACTAAAAGACATAAACATCAGGAAATTAAAATTAATATTTGACAAGCTCAGTCGAAGAAGCAAGTGACATTTTAGTAAGTAAATGAGCTTTAAAATTTATAAGTTACTCGTTTTTATTACTTCGCCCAATCTTTATGTATTTAGCGTATTATAACACATAAAATTTTTGATGGTATATTTATTTGACTCTAATTCTTTTTCAAAGGAGGATTTTTAAATTTTTTTTTCAATTAATACAATTTTGTTAGAAATGCTAAAATTAATATACATATATTTAGGCTTTCATTCATGAAATAAAATTACAGCATCCTCAATTTGGAACAAACTGGCACCAACTTTTATCTCTCCCTGCTCTCTAAAAATCCTCCAGTCGATTCAGAAGTAGTGTGAGCTCAACAATCGGGAAGTCGATATTTAATCGGCATTTATCGCTTCTGTCAAGAATTCGGTAATCATTGGTTTGGGAGAAAAAATTTTAAATTGAACAGATTGTGGTCAAAATGTACGTCATTTCGTTCGTTATCTAGAAGTATGTCTACAGCTGAATAAGAGTATTTTTTATTAGTTTCAATGCAAAAATTACCTATAGCTGTTGAAACACATAAAGTATTTCCATATCCTCATTAAAAATTAGCAGATTCATGCAAAAATGACCTTTTTAATTTCGAAAAATGTACAAAGAACTGCTTTTGAACGTGGTAAATTAAACGATTATGATTAATTACGCGATCCTAATTTTTTTTCTATTAATATATGTTACCACTTCCTAAATTTCCGGAGTTGAACAGCCTATCCACACTCAGTGGATATACAGCTTTTTTCATTTTCAACTTTTTAGCCTTGACTAGAGAACGCATGTTTAAAGAACCAGGTCACATTCATCTTCGAGAAGAAATTTTTTAAAGCGAACCTAATCAACATTTGCGCGATATGAAGGGAAAAACCACGAAAGCCTCTCATAGTTATCCAGATACCAATGGACCTCTTATCTATCTTTACGAAAGTATAATTTGCATTAGCAATGTAATAATCTCTTCGGGAAGGGACACTGTAAAATATAACCTTCTATTTCTGTGAATCGTTCACATCTTTAAACTGTCTCCGCTGTAAGTATTTTATTATAATTTAGCTAAAGCTCCTTACCAGATAAACATCGTACAGCATTCATAACTGCAAAAGGTATTGTGGCTTCTTGTCTAGACGCATTGTAATAGTTCAATATTTCCACATATAAAATTCCAACACTTCGATAATGTCCAGAGAGAATGAAATTTATAAAAAATGATGAAACTGCTACAATCCAAGCGAAACCTTTGTCTGGTACTTCCACGTTTAACATTTTCGGGAGCAGTTTCAGACGCTATATCATTTTAATGTGATAAAAAAATAATTTTTGATTACTCTATGAAAACTCACACAGAAACAATCACCAAAATCAAAAGTAAACAGACTAAAATAATGTTTATACTAAACCATTCAGGACGGGTATGTAACAATTATAGAATTATTTTGTTGTCATACTTATGCGCGCAACTTTACCAGAAAACATTTCAAACAACAACAAAAAATCGAGCTTCAGCTTGCGAGACCGATAAATGACTTTTATTACAGTATTTTTGTACCCTCCTCCATTTTGTCACAAAATGTCATAATCGCCATACTCCCTCCCTCTTTTGTCACTTGTCATGCAATATTACATAAAGATATATTAGCTTAGACACACACAAAACTTGTTTTAGATCATATTTCAATTGCTTAAAGTCCTGTAGTTGACTGATTGTTAAGACACGGCTGGCTCCCAGCCGAACACCGAAGTCATGCATCACTGGCTGCGGTCAGTGTGCTGGTGGATGACCACTCGAATCAGTCTGCGGAGGACAGACTTACGCTTACGGTATTTTTTTTTTCGTAAAAGTGTTCTAACTTAAAGTGCTCATCTTCGCGCTCAGATGAGCTAATAGAGCGAAATATTTTGCAGTGGGTCAAAATTATGATGACATGTCTTCTGATCATCCTCAGGGATGTTTCCCACGTCGTTGCCAGTAGCCCATTGTATCACAATTTCCCTCCTATCCTCCAAACGAGACATGATTATTGGAAAACCTCTTGTGTTCTAAACAAATTTTGGCTATTAACTTAAGCGAGAAGCATAATGTTTAAATGTTACGCGTAAGAAGAATATCGCATGAATGCGTCGCTGATTACGCGCACTGCGGGGAACTCAGGAAACAATACGTCTGAAGATGAGGGAGCCAGGAAAAGAAAGAAGTCCTTATCCCCCTTGTAGTGCACAAAGTAATACCTAAACACAGTAGAAAACTCTTTTAGTCATTAGTATTTCATTATTTTAAAAATCAAATTAGCCTCGAAATTATTAAACTAATCCTATTGCAACAAAATAAAGATACTTTTCTATGAATGGTTGACAATGTAAAACTACGCGAAGATGGCGCTAGGGCTTAAAATTCGTCGTAAGACTTCCGGTATACTTTTTCCGACTGATTTTTACGCCTAATCTTGAAAAAAAAACGCATCATCCAATATTATCATACTTGTAGTGTTTACAATATAACATGTTCTTTCAATCTAATTTTCAACGAAACAAACAACAAATGAATTCGGAAAACTCAGCAAGCTTGTTATGATGCTAACCAAAAAATAACAGTGTTCAGTGTTATTTTACACAAATATAGCCAACCAAGGGATAACCCTCAAAACATGGCTAACTTTACACTTTATTTATGCTGCGACATTATTCTTTTTTAAAATTTGTTTTTGGCTCACGATTTGTTAGAATTTATAAATTACAGATAACTCTTGTGAATTGTAAAATTACGAGTAAATTTAAACACAAGTCACAATAGTAAATCTTCCTAAAATATTGAACCTGTTCACACATCGCCTCGTAAACAAGACATATGCGGAGGGATACAACGGAAGTTTTCTAAATTTCTTCCAGTTTTAGGAAGCTTGTTATTGTTTACATTCAACCAACCATTCATATAGTTTTTTTATTCGCTGTTTGAATGGATGAACCACAAATAAACTTGTCATGCTTGTTTTCTATTGGTGATGAAAATGGTCTACAGATGCCGTGGAGCAGAACTCTTTACCTATGGCAACACTTCGCATGCTTTTATCATTAGCGTGTGGAGAGTCATAGGAGAAAGAACTACGTTAATTTGTCTTGATTTTTCCAATAGATTAAAACATTTTCAACTAGAAAACTGAATGGTGTTTTCTACACTTGGGTGAACTCCAAGCTCTTTCTGTCTATACTTCCGGTGTATTTTGAAGCCATTTGGCTCACAACGTGATCATTATGTTTTTAGACTCTTGAATAGTTTCTTTTATGTATGTATTTGTTACCTGATTTATTATTTGTGTTTAAAGAAAATCGTCATTTGAAGACCTGCATTTCAAGACGTAAGAATCGTCATTTGAAAAAAAAAGAAAAAGAATCTTTATAAGACACTTCTTACCCAGTCACCAATATACCAACTTTGAAATATAAATAAAAACGATAATTCATAAAATGAATCCTAATTCTAATCCTGCTTAGGGCATGGATGTTTCTTTCTGCGTGTTCTATGTCCTTTCTCCTTCGTGTGAATGTGACTCGCCCTATAAACGGGTTGTCGTTGTGTAACGTGCGCGACGCTGCTCCACCGCAGTGGCTTAAGCCACTGGGTAACGAGAAGAGAGAAGCAGTTCTGTGGCCAATTAGACAAATACCAAGTGCCCGCCATTAAAAAAAAAAGATTAAGAAAGAGGAGAATATTACAATCCTCTTTGGGTTTCCCGCAGTGGACTGATCTTTAAGACTCAATTCCCAGCAGATCACCGAAGTCAAGCATCACTAGCTGCGGTCAGTGTGCGGGTGGGTGACCACTTGGATTGGTCTGCATAGGGACCGAGGGTATGCGGTATTGGTCATCGTTAAACTGTTCTACCTATGCTCGACTTCACGTCCAGGTCATCGGGCTACCGAATCAGGGGTACCGTCCCCTCTGCAGAGGATAAAAATTGTGATGGCATGTCTTCGGATCATCCTCAGGGATGTTTTCCAGACCATCACCAATAGCCCATTGTGGAGCTCTAGTGCGACGTAAATGAACTACAATAACAACAACAACTACTCTTTGGGGAGTTGTGGAGTTAATGAAATTCGCGCATACGAATGCAGCTCGTCTTACATACGCACGTGCGTCCGGGACAATCGGATTCAATTTGAGTGCGTTCCGCACGCACACAACAGTTGGATCAACGAGAATGATCCGAGAATAATTTTTCAATGAAATTTAAGAACATAACCGTGCAAAAACAAAAAATCAAAAGCGTTTGTAATCAAAAGAAAAACCATAAAAAATAAATATTAGCAAAAGCTTCAATTGTTCATTTACTTAGTTATTTTGCTCGTTGAAAATCTTAGAGTTTTTTTACTTTGGAAATAGTTGAATCGGGGTCCCGTTGAATCCAATTTTAAGCTATTTAACAAATAATCTATGTTTTTATGTATACCTTATAAAAAGCTTCAGTATGAGTGCAAACCATACTAATAGTAAAAAGATATTTTCTTGTAGTACATGTGATAAAACTTGCACAAGTAAAAGTTCTTTAATTGATCATAATGCTACTGATCATGATGAAGTTGAATTACATAGTTCCTACAATACAAATAAAAAATCACTCTCTTGTAGCATGTGTAACAAAACATTATCTTCTATGCATTCTCTGAAAAGGCATTGTCTTACCCATACAAATGAAAGGTCTTTTGTTTGTACTATATGTAATAAGAGTTATAAATATAAAAGGACTTTAACTGCTCATTGTGTTACTCACACTAAAAATAATAATCTGCACTCTTGTTGCATATGTAATAAGTCATTTAGAAAGAAAAAGTGCCTTAGAATACACTACCTCTTTCATACTAATGAAAAACCCTACTCGTGTAGCATATGTAACAAGAAATTCAGGTTAGAAAGTGGTTTAACTCTACATGAAATTGTTCATACATCTGTAGAACCACAAAAGGGAGTTATAACTACTAGCAGTGTTCACTGTACAAATAATAGTCCTTATACTTGTGGTGTATGCTTTAAAAGATTTACATTCAAAAATAATTTGAAGAGACATTACCGTGTTCATACTGATGAAAAACCTTTTTCTTGTAGTTTATGTAATAAGGGCTTTTCTCGAAAGTGTTATTTAAGTACTCATTATTTAATACATACGAAGGAGAAGCCTTTTTCTTGTACTGTTTGTAATAAAAGTTTCACCCGCAAGTGTCATTTAATAGATCATAATCGTGTTCATACTAAAGAAAAACCTTTTTCTTGTGGCTTGTGTGATAAAAAGTATACAAAAAGAAGTACTTTGGCTCTACATACTCTTAAACATATTTAATGAATCTTTTGTGAAATTGGAGATATTTCCGTATCGTGATCTGTGGAGCCAACTATAATCGCCTAGGTGCTAAATAGATTTTAAACTTGAAATTTAAAATTGAAAAAAAAAAACATGTAGATCTTAGGTTATGGGTTATATTATGGGGAGAGTAGATATTGTCAATGTCAACCTTCATCTCTGAAAAGGTACCCCAACATAGAATCGAGTTAACATGTCTTATATACTAGTGAATTGGAATTGCTATTTTGTAGTGGTAGGCACACTAGAATATCATTCGAGTTAGTCCCTTTCTGTGATGTTTTTTTTTTTTATTAAGTTCCTCACGGGCCAATGCCTGGAAATTGCAAAGACTTGGCGATTATTCTGCCACAGATCACGATACGGAAATCTTCCTGTGAGATTTTTAACTGAGGCTAGTGAAGCTCACTCTGGATTGTTAAAGTGTCGAAAACATTGCATTTAAAAAAAGTTATACAAGTTCCATTTGTATTAATCATAGACATAAAGTTTAAAAATTACAATTTCCTCTTTTTATTTTATTTTTATAATTGGCAAATAAACATCTTAGTGTCAATAAAATTAGTCAAGCTTTTATTTGTTAAAGAAAATATCAGTTTGGAATATTACATATGAAACTTTTTCACTAAGTCAAAAATTCAGCTAAAATTTTCATAAGAAAATTGTGAATTTGATTCGTGTTATTTAGACTGAATGGTCGAGTCGAATTCAGTGAAAATGTATCCTAAGTAACTCAAAATAATATTTCTAATATTTTTTGTTAATGTTATAATTTGTTTTACTTATAGATTTATTTCAAGTATTGACAAAATAATCTAATTTTTTATATATATATATATTTATCTTACATGGCTAAAAAGGTCTTATTTTTTCAATATTATTATCCGAGGCCTGAAATATCAAGTGAGTGAGCAGTCATAATTATAAACACCTAAATAAACATATTTACAAATTTCTGAACAAATATTCTTTTCTCATATGAACAATGAAGAGTTGAAGCAAATAGAATTAATATGGATGAAATAAAAGGTTAACTATAAACAGTTCATAAAAACAAACTGTTCTATGTTATTGTTACATTGACTTATAAAATTATACTGGTTTAATAATAATTTAGAGCTATATTTTAGTTTTTAATGATGCTCTATAATTACTCTGGGAGAGAGATTAGTTATATAAATGAAGATTGGCCATCTATGCTTTTCTTTTTCTCATTTTATTTAGTTTTTTTTATTCATTTTACAACTTAATGTTAAAATTAAGGTGTTTCAAGTTTATGTATGAATAAAGTAAGGTGTTATGAGTTTATGTATGAATAATATGTTATGCCTTCAAACACTGAAGTTTATAATTTGGTTTACATAAAATCATTATATGTTTAATGTTTGTAAATCATAGGTTTCATCGATGTCTATGTTACACATTTGTGAACTTCATTTTAAAAAGAAGTATCAATATACATACAAGGATAGAATAAAATATAAAAATATCTATTGTGCCAGCTTTGTGTTCTCAAATTGTGAAGCAATGTGTAAAAAAACTGTTTGCAGCATTCTGGAGTTGGCAAACACAATGAGCAAGATGTGTGCCTTCTAGTTATTATTTAATAAAGAATGAACTGGATTGTTAAAGGGCAGATTGTTTACATATTAAAAGCAGAAGTAATTTTGAGTATTTTCCTTTGGCTATGTCTCACAAAACTCCTTTACTGTCAAATTATTTTCATTATTTACATATTAAAAGCTGGAGTAATTTTGAGTGTGTTCCATTGGTTATGTCTCACAAAACTCTCCTTTACTGTCAAATTGTTTTCATTATTGTTTACATGTTAAAAGCTGAAATAATTTTGAGTGTGTTCCATTGGCTATGTCTCACAAAACTCTCCTTTACTGTCAAATTATTTTCATTATTGTTTATATATTAAAATGAATGTGGAGTAATTTTGAGTGTCTTCCATTGGCTATGCCTCACAAAACTCTCCTTTACTGTCAAATTATTGTTTACGTATTAAAAGCTGAAGTAATTTTGAGTGTCTTCCATTGGCTATGTCTCACAAAACTCTCCTTTACTGTCAAACTATTTTCATTAACTGAACAAGTAGAATTTTTGTAATTTCAAATGATGTAAGTTTTGATTATGAAATAACAAAAAATAACCAGAGCCATTAAAAATCATTTTAATTCAAAACTTTATCCAATTTGATTGAATTTTTAAATTCGTAAAGTAAAGCATTCCAGCTAGGCCAAAGGTGGTTAGGGCTCCACAATTTTGGGACCAACAGTATTAAATTCATAAAAAATTTAATCTTTTTATGTTGCAATTTTATTTTTGTGTTACATATTTATCAATTTGTAATTGTTTAAAATTTTTATTTGAATTTGTATCACTCTCTCTTTAAAACTTTCTAGTTTCTAAGCTAGAAATATGAAAATTCTGCTAAAATGTGTTTTACATTGCCTAGAGTCATTAAATACAACACTAGGCAAATTAAAATTTTACTGTAATTTTGCAGTCAGGTGTAAATAATTTGTGCAGTTGCTATGCAATAAAATATTTGTTAATATTAAATTATTTTTGATTAACCATTTTTTATGCATGTTTATTAAATTTTTATATTTTGGTTTTCAGTTATATTTAATTTTAGTTATTAGTTTTCAATAAAGGCTTTTATTAAGAAGTAGACAATAAATAGTTCTTTAAATGTTCAGCTTTATTTAAGAAATTCGATCTTGGGTCTGGATAAATTGCTGATTCAAGTATATAAAATCAAAAAAGGCTTATGTGAGTTCTTTTCTATTTTTATAAGAGAATTCTTAAAGCAAGATTAACAATTATAATAGTCTTGAACATCTATGATGATTTTTTTTTTTTGAAAATCAACGACATTGGTAATAATATGTACTAATTCCTGAATTTACCAGTTACCATTTCTGCAAACACTGTTGTTTTATTCATGTATAGGTATCATGTAACTAACCTATGTATAGGTATTTTAATTAGTCTGTTTGTTTTTTTTCAAAAATATACTTTAAAAATATGAATCCACAAATAATAAATAACAATAATTTAAAGTTGTTAACTTTGTTTTGCTATTGTTTATTGACGATTTCTGAAGCTTTTAGTACTGCTTAACCCTTTATATCTACCTACAGGTCAAAATGATCTGAGTATACGATACATTTGGAGGGTAAATTTAACGGTAAATTTAAGAGACAATCTAGTTTTAAGAGGACAGCTTTGGGCCGAATGTTAAAAACTATTATTTTTACTGTGTGTCCACATCTTGTCAAACCAGTAACGCCCGTATTCACCAACACGGATTACCTCCGGGTAATCTATGGGTAAGAGTAAAATCACGAGTTTAGTGCGAAACGTTATTCTCCAGCCGAAATTTCACCAAACTCGCAGATTTCATCGACAGTTCTGGTAACTCTCTGGTCAGACTCTCTGGGTAACCCTCCGTTTTTGCCGAGTTATCGGAGGGTAACCTATTCACGAGGAGCTTGTAAACAAACAAGATGGAGGATTCTATCGCTGCGTTTGAGCTTGAATTTCTTGAAACTGTTGAAATTTTGAAAGATATCGTTTCTTAAAACCGACGATCTCCAAAATTGGCAGTAAGTTGGAATCTGATACAGATCGGAACAATGCCTTAACTCCAACGGAAAAAGTTTTAACTGCTGTAAGATTTTATGCATTTGGAAACCAGCAAATAACATGTTTATATTATACAACAGCACGTGTTTATATTATATACAAAGTCACATGGTTTTACCTTGCCCAATCAAAGGCCTCGTTATATTTCCTGCAAGAGTTAAACTCGAGTTGTGAAATCCTCTGTTGAAAACGGTTGGAGAATAAAAAGCGAGGGTTAATCCGAGAGTAACTCTGAACTGTGGATATTCCGATCCCCGAGTTATACTCTTGAATTTAACTCGGAGTGGTGAATACGGGTGTAAGAGGTTTCAGTAATTTTTTATTAAATGAAATGTAAAAGAGTCAATAAATCGAATAGATTGCTTTATTAATAGATTTGTAACTTGTTTAATATCAGACAGCGGAGCATTAAAATTTTTGGAATATTTACTCAAACCAACAGGTATTATTTTAGCTTGCAGATAATACTGGTTGTTCTGTAATGGCTGCACTAATATATAATTTTAAATAATTAGTCGTGAAACTATTCATATTTAAACAGGACATGAGATTTGAATACTAGCCAAATCGAAACTTTTGATCACTGTTTTATCTTCATGAAAAATCTAAACAATTTTTAAAACCATAACAGATGTAGTAGGAAGAAAATTTTTGCAAATGGAAATAAAGTTGTCTTAAAATTTTAATGTTAGCATAGTGAAAATTAAATGGTAATAACCTAGTGTTTTTTGTTCTGAATAGAAGAAAAATGCTAATGCTTGATTTCAAAATATATTTCTCTGCGCTGCTTTATGGAGATGTGTTAATCTAAATGTATGTAATTTAATTTAAAATTCAACATTTTAAAAAGTGAAACTTAATTGCTATCCTTATTTGATCAATTATGGTGTGCATACAGTTTCCTAGCTTTAAAAAGATTAACAAAATGTCAAAACTTATTGCAAAGCAGAGACTGTTATTTAGCTAATGCTAAAACAATTTGGAAATTAAGTCTTAAAAAAACACAATTAAAATGAATAAATTCAAAAAATTTTTATTTTTATATGCATGTTACAATAATACTTTAAATCAAGGATTTTTTTTTTCGAACTATAATATAATTATTTGGTATACAATAACAATAGTAATTTAAAGGACGAATACACTGATAATACTAAAAGGTACTCTATTTCGCCAAACCAGAAAATGGAGGTTTTCTATGTAGGATAATTTTCAAGTCAATTATTTTTTTTTTTTTTTTGGATGGTAAATTATTCATTGTTAAAAGATAAGGCCTAATTATTCAGTCACTAAGAGCAGGCTTGAAATCCTTCATAGATAAGTATCATAAAAATTATATCTTCAACTTAAGCAAAACATTTTATAGTATATTAAACAACTTTGTTTAACAAAAGAAATTTTTTTTCTTGCCAATACAATGTATAAAAACAGTGTCCGACAATTAATGCAAAGCAAACTCTAAATTCTGTGATGCTGAAATCCTCTACAATCTAAGAATTTTAGAATGTCAAAAAACAGGCGGTAAAAGATTTTTTTTAAAACACAACTCTAATATTTAAAACTTAAGTTTTATTGTTAATAAACACATAACTTAATACATTTTCAAATATAATTTTAACTAATAAAATTCAAGTTTACGCATTTGGGAATAACCTTATAATCTCACATTATTTTACAATCAGTGAAACATTTAAAGAAAACAATAAAATATTAATTTTTGTCAAATATACGTAAATTTTATAAGCGTTGTTTATAATATGTTAACTCACTTTTCTATGGTGGAAAGTCCCGTATCTGAAATCGTCGGGACTTAGCAAGTACGAAAAATAGATTTTTCCGAATGATAGGATTTTAACAGGCAAACATTATAACATATGTTATTCAATAAGTTGACGATGATTAACTTCAATTTTATACAACCTTTTTATTTTTTATAGTTTGAAAAATAACTAAATGAAAGTGGCCTGGCCACAATTTGAACTTTCATGAATAAAAACAAGTTTCTCTCTCTCTTCAATTTGATGTGAAGAATTACCTGGCAAGATAATGAGATAAAAAAAAAATTAATCTTATTTGAAAAAAAAAATTATATAAAACAAGGTACAGAATTGAGTAGATTTTGTAAATAAAAACATACATAATTTAAAGGGAAACAATGCATGTTTCTTGGTGTTCTTTCTATACACTATTAATATTCAGCTTCATAATATTCATACAGTCTGTCTATGGAAAGAACTTCTCTTGGCATTCGTCTTGACTAGTGGCGATGACTATGGTTACAATATTTTAAGTAAGGATGTTGGGTCAATATTTAACGCAGATTTTAGGTTGGTTCAGCAAGAGAAAGGGAATCAGGAGGGGGGGAGAGAGAGAGAAGCTCCTCTCTATGAAATGTGCTATTTCTTGTTTCTATAGCAGCAGATGACCTCATACTTTGTGGCGAGATAAGCTCCCTCCATGGACTAACTATAGTTTATTCTTCTCACCCAAGTTTGATTTTCTTTAACTGCTCTCATCTTTTTAACAATTCTTTTAGTGCAACAACATATTATTCTTTAACATATATTATTCAATAACATATTATTCTTTTAGTGCATAACAACATATTATGAACAACACTTATAATCTTTTTAACAATTCTTTTAGTGATTAAAGCAGATTAAATATCCATGCATCAGAATAGAAGAAAAAGAATTTTTTATTAATATCTTCTTTAACAAATTGCAAAAGTAGAGGGGGGAAAAAACACTTTTTTTTTTTTTTGAAGAAGGAAATGAGGTTTTTTTTATTTTGATTGTAAAAAAGTATCTGGAAAATAGAGGTTTCCAGTAAACAGACATCCAGATATAGGACTTCGTAGTTTGATGAAAAAACCTTTAAAATAAAAAAGAATTGTGGAATATGAACTAAAGATAAAACAAATCTTGTCCCTAGTCATAAGCTATGCAGATTCCAAAATCTACAGTGTAAATCATGCAAGAAATATAAGTTTTTCAAAGCCTTACCAAGACTATTAATAAGATAAATTATTTGTGGAAAAAAATTCTTATTTACCAATAAATTATGAAATCAAATCCTCCAACAATGATATACAAAGCATGAGACAAAAATATATGTTATTTACAGCACTAGCAAGGCTACCAATAAGTTTGTTTTTACCAATATTTAAAAAAAGAATGATTAACAAAACATTGACTAACCTATAAAAAAAATTCTGCAGTATAAAGAAAGCCAGAGAGATAATATAAGCAGGATGACCACAAACACAGTAAAAAAATTCATTGGTTTTTCAAGAATTAAATTTTCTTGATTTTTGTAACTGAGCATAAATGAAATTTTTTTTTTTTAGTTGTGTCTGATTCTTAAAAAGCGTGCGTAGCATTTTAAAAAAGTGCTCATTTTCGATTTTTGTTTTAAAAAGCTCTTGTGGGTGCTTTTGAAAAGGTATTGTAGGTGTTTTGGAAAGTGCCTAATTTTGTATGCTTATTGCTTTTATATACTGTATTACTTTAAAATTTTTCAGTGCAAATTTTCAGTAAGTTCTTTTATTAAAAAATTCAATATTTAGAGGAAAGATTTTTAGCAAAAATATGAAGTGAGGAGCTTTCTTAATTTGAAATACAGCAAAAAATTTTATATAATTCAGGTTTTTTTATTCCAAAAAACCATAATTCATCTCTCAATGATTTAATTTAAAAATAATTGAAATAAAAGATTCACATAATATATTTGTTAAATATTATGAGTGTTGGGACCATATAATAATTTACTCCTGACAAAAATGTTTAGTTTCAATACTTATTATTTACATTTTAAAATTAATGAAAGTTTTTTTAATCATTTCATTAAAGAAATACTTAACCAAGTAGCAAATTTCAATAAAAATTTAATAGTTCATAAAATTCATTGAGTTACATTAGTAATATGAATTTATTAAAGTTTTCTTAATTTGCTCAATTTTTTACAGATCTTTATAAATTCACTATGATCAATTATATTAATCTTGTTAATCTTTTGTTGAATATGCTTTTATAAATAAAATTTTTTAAATCACTTGATATAACTTTTATTTTATAAATAATAGTTAAACTAATTATAATTTTGAATTAAAATTCACTTTTTTATGTAACTAAATAAAGTAATTATTAATTAAAAAAATAGGGTGAGCAACTCAATGCTAAATATATTTAAAATAGTGCATAAATTGTTTTTATGGTGGCTAATATAATGAAAAAAAATTTTTTTTTTTCAGAATAGAGTCATTTTATCATGATCATCTAAAGTCTTCGGTAATCACTTTGCTATTTTTTTTATTTATATATATGTATAAGAACTTTCAGCAATAGAAAGAAAAAAGTTTTATTAGTGTATCCTAATTATGATATTTTTTAAAAATAAATCACTTTAAAATATTTTTTGAGTGCTTAAAAAGTGCTTATTTTTTGTAACTTTGGCTACACACCCAGATAGATTACAATACACTTGCAATTGCTATTAGAGTTAAAAATAAAAAATTATTTTTTTAAAAAAAATTATTACAAAACCGATTTCTTTGGAAAAAAAATAAGACTTTCAGGTGCTACAAGTTCAAGTTACTTTATTTCCCTTGTTGTTAAATTCCCGGATTTTCTCCTGATTGATAAAATTACCCAACCCATTTTGTGGCCACTCTCAACATAGCAAAAACATTTATCATTATATTTTACACAAGGTTTATAATTATTAACAATTTATTTTTCATTTGTATGGAAAAAAATTAAGAATAAATTTTTCACTCATCATTTATATCTTCACCAGAATCTATATCAGAAAAGTAAAAATCTTCTTCAGTATTCATATTATGTGAATTATAAACTCCAGTATTAGGATCAGGAGAATAATTAGCTCCATTTATATGAACAATATGAGAGTTATCTAATTGACTAATTTGTTGAACATTCTCCATTTGCGAGAAGCTCTCAGTACTCATGTCACAAGACTCAGTGTTTTTCTTTGTATGAAGAAGAATGTGTGAAAATAAAGTTTGTTTCTTTGAAAAACGCTTGTTACAGATATCACAAGAATAAGGTTTTTTGTTAGTATGAATGAGTCTATGAAGTTTCAAGTTTCCCAACTGTGTAAAACTTTTTGGACACAGGTCACAAGAAAAAGGCTTTTCTCCAGTATGAATATTTACATGAGTGATTAAATTACTCTTTCTGGAAAACTTTTTACCGCATATCTCACAGGAAAAAGGTTTTTCTCCAGTATGAACACTATTATGAGTTATTAAATGACCTTTCCGGGAAAAACCCTTATTACAAATGTCACAAGAAAAAGGTCTTTCACCAGTATGAAAAAGCATATGAACTTTTAAATGACTCTTTCTATAAAAGCTTTTGTCACATTTCTCGCAAGAAAAAGGTTTTTCCTTCGTATGAGGGAGCTGTTGGGTAAAGATACTTTTTTCCAGTGAAAAACTTCCATTGCATTTTTCTATAAAATAAGGTTCTTCATTGGTATTATCCAATCTATGAAGTCTTTTAACATGAGCATTTAATCTACTCTCTTGCACAAAGCCTTTATTACATACACCACAAGTAAAAAGTTTCTCTCGATAATGAACAACATTATGATTATTTAAACTACTTTTTTGTGAGAAACATTTATTACATACATCACAGGAATAAGGTTTCTCTTTAGTATGAACAGAGTAATGTTTAGATAAAAGATCCTCACTTGAGAAGTTTCTACTACACAAATTGCATGGATAGGATTTCATTATATTCTGATCAAGGCTTTCTGAGACATCTGCAGTAATAATTGACATTTTTTTAAATGTTTATTTCAACCAAGTATTTGGGGCATTTAGTTGAAAGAGAAGAAAAAGCTTATTATCGTAAGACTAACATTTTTATGAGGCAAACTTATAGCATAATTTCCAGACAACAGTGATATAAAATATATAATTTTAAATTAAGTTAATACATTTTAGTATACTTTACAACAGTAATATAAGATGAATAATTTTTAGTAATAGAACAGGCTAAAAAATCTGACATAGTTTTAAAAGTCAAATTAAATGTCCAAATGCGAAACAACTAACATACGTACATGGAAAGCTATATATAAAAAACTTAAAATGAATTATGAGATAAAAAGAATTAGACAAATCAAATAAGAAAGACTAAGAAAAAAAAATGAATTATGAGATAAAAAGAATTAGACAAATCAAATAAGAAAGACTAAGAAAAATCAAATATCTTTAAAGCAACTTTGTTAGCTTGGGTAAGATTGCAGGAAAAAGTCAACAAATCAAATTATTATTTAAAAGATGAAGAATAATAAAAAGTTGCATTCCTCAAATTTTTATAAATCGATGTTAAGTGATGTGCTAATTCAGAAGCTGATTCTGGTTCTTATTCAGCAATTTCCTCAGTCCATGTAGCAAAAATGTATTTACAATTGTAACCTAAAAAGAAAGAAATGTGTGCTTTTAATATGAAAAATAAAACTAATCCAGTAAAAAATTATTTGTCAAAAACAACTTATTATAACACAGGGAAAACAATATGGTTAAATAACTTGATTTGATAAGATTTTTTACTAGAAAAAACTAGATAATCGCATTCGAGAAATTGTTTTTCTTCACATTTTCAAATAGCAAGAAAATGCAATGAAGTAAAAAGAAAAATCATTTAGCATAATTTCTGGTTTAAACATACACCAGTCTTTTTTTTTTTTTAATCCTAATTTGTTCTATTTCATAAATTTATTTTAAATGGTATAATTATGAAAATCTTTTCATTAAACATAAAGATTATTTTACAAAAAAATCTTAGAACTGTCTCAAAAGTTGCATAGTTGCTTCAGAAAGATAAACTTCCTCAAACCTAAGGAGATTTAGCAAACTTCTGGCTTATTTTTCTGCTGATATTGCGTTTATGAAGCAAAGTGGAACAGGTGGGAAAATTTTAGAAAATTTTATAACTAGGACTAGGAATTAAGTTTTCTTCCAATATTGCTAATCATAAGATATTTATATAATTTAACTGAAGAAAAAAGTTTTTCAACTCTAATAGTTTTTTTTTACTATTTAATCTCTTTTTTTTCTTCTTTTTTTAAATAAATAAAACCTTTTCAAAGAAAATAAACATAGTTATGTTAAGTATAGAATGTTAAATCCTTATATTTTTTTAACAATAGATAATGAATTATGCAAAATAAGTATCTCACTTTACAAAAATTCAATTTCCTCATGTAAAGCAAAACTAACAAAAAAGTATAACTAAAAACATTTTGTCTTTTATAAAGATAACAAAATGGTTACCATTTAGTCCTAACTTAAATTACTTCGACTTTTTTTTTTTTTTTTTGCAGAATAGGATGAAAAATAAAAAATATAGCCCTTTTAAAAACTTCAAGTGTTTTCTATTAAAAAGTTTCAGCAGAGATTTGAATTAGCTATAAAGATTGATAATAATATAACTGAAAATTAAATATTTAAATAAATTATTAATTTTACTGCATAAATCCTGAATGGTTTAATTTTATTAATGTTTTATAAAGAATGCGGATTATTTTTACAAAAAAATAATAAAAATAGTTTCTTTCAGATTTTACTAGTTTACATTCTTTTTAACAGAATGTTAACAGTTATATTCTTTTTACAATATAACAGCCTAACAACAGTACACTGAAAACTGCGTAAGATGACCATTAATGTGACTATAATAAAATGGTCCATTTAAACAAGTAGTCAAATTATTATGGATCAACATACAGAGGTATAAGAGGCTTCATTGTAGTATCTAAATAAAAATTACGATTTAAGTTGTAGTCTAGATGTTGCAAGAAGTTATCCAACAAATGTAAACAGAAGTAAGACAAACGATTGCGAAGTATGACAGGCAAGAAATATATTTACCACAAACGAAGTAAATTTTAATCATGAGTTATCCTGGATTTATTAAGTAATTAATTATGGCTAACTCCTTTTAACTTTCAAATGAAGTGGACTGGTCAGGTTAGGTATCTTCTGCTTTGTTTGTATTTTCATTGGATCCGTTTTTAATAACCTACGTCTGCTCATCTCAAGAACCATTTTAAACACAAATATATATTGAAACTCATCTGCGATCTCTAGCGAGTCATTTGCGATCGCAACGCTTGAATATGCCACCTGGGGAGAAGACCGATTCCATGTTTTGACCGTCTCTCCGTCCCTTTTCCTCTTCGCAGTTGTATGAGAATATACAGTGAGCTAAAAAAAACAATAAGATACCACCCTGAATAACTTTCCTTCAAATGGTTTGATTTTTGTGTACTAAGTGTCAGTCGTAATAATTTCTAGAGATGATTTCAAACATGCTTATTAATTATGCGGCACAAAACATTTATTAATAAATGTTTTATGCAAGCTCATAAATGCACTTTCTCATATATATATATTTGGATTCTTGACCCACAAAAGTAGAGAGGGTTCACCAGTAGTTATTGGATCGAAATTTAGGGTGCTGGGAAGTTTTATATATTTGGCTTCGTCCCAGAAAGATAGGCCAAGAATTATCGTTCGCCATAGCAGAATTAGAAATTAAATGTAACCATATTCTGGCCGCGTGGTAGACAAGGGAGAAATACTCCGTTGCTAAGCAACCAATCTGAGAAGATAAAAAAGAATGAAATAAAAATTGAAGCTATTCTTCGTTTTTGTGTTAGCTCTGGTCGGAAAGAGCTTTTTTTTTTTTTTTAAATAGTTAACAGAAAAATATCTTGAAGTTTTGAGGAAACAGATTTATTTTTAGTTGATTACTGCCCAAAAAAGCAAAGATTTCGTTTTCATCTCTTCAAAAAATAAAATTTGAATTGATTTATAATATATTTATAATTTTACAAGATTTTAGTATTTGATCACATGAAAATTTTATAAGGCATTATTTCTATTTAAGTTCCTTAAATATGAAGATATTATACTAAAACAAAATTTGCATTATTTCAATTATGTTCAGTACGCGTACCACACTTAAGTGCGGTACGCGTACCCCTAGGGGAACGGGAACAGTTTAGCTGGCTGAAAAAATACTAATTAAGCAATTTTTTAAAGCTGTATATTTATCTACAGCAGGAGGGTTTAAAAGTAAATCCTGAACAGAGTTAAGTATATCAGATTCAATAACCGCTACAACGTGATGAAATTTGGTAGCGTCGGCAGAAATTCGAGAGATTGAAAATTGCGATTCTAACTGTGCAAACTATAACACGAGATTGTTTTTCCAAAGCGGAGGTGGTTTAATTGCTACGTGAGAAATTTGTGAAGGTTGAATGTTAACTAAAGCTCCTTCATTCACCACGTTTCCTGGCTGTTCGTTTTCCGGCATTTTTTGACAAAAAAAAAATCAAAGCAATAAATAGATAATTATAAATTTTGTGTTCCTTCTTTCTTCCGTAGAAATCTTTGGGCTGTTCTTCCATACATAAAATACTCCAACTTTTACAGTTAGTGTTGATCTTCACACTAAAAAATTGAACGAGCAATTGAATTGTATTTGCCAAATTAGTGTGAGTTTCTATGCTTTAAAACTTCAAGAAAAATGAGTAATTTAACATTTTTAATGCTGGGTTATTTCATTTGCATTCAAACTGTATAAATTATAATTGTAGATAAGGTTTTCTTTCATTATTAAAAATTTTATTAATCATTATAACGGTTCGTGCCATTAATTTAGGTAAATTTTTCTGTTTCTCTTTTTTTTTCTTCGCTGTATGCTTAAACATGTCTGGTTTAAACAAATACAAAAAAATTAATAATAAATATTTATGATTTTCGATTTAAAAAATTTAGGAGTAATTTAATATGTAATTTTTTAAACTATAAGACTAATTATTCGCAGTAGTTTTGTGATTAAAGCATTGAGCTGTCGAAACTTTATTAAAATTTGATATCCAGTGTCCACATTAATTAAATTGGTATTTTTTACCAATTGTTTCCTCAAGTTTTATTACTGTACCTTTTAAATTCACTAAGTTGAAACAAAGCTAAATATTAAACAAATGAAATTATTTTGAGTAAAAGAATATAAATAACACTGAGCTTCACGCAGTGCTTAAAGAAAAATTTCCAATTAATACTTTGCTTTGGATCAAATTAAAAATGAAGTGACTTGAAAACTTAAGTGTCTTTAACATAGAGTTCTCAAATATCGGTGCATCCAAATACATTTGAGTGATAATAAATTTAAGAAGTAAATTGTAATAATAAAAAAAAAATCAATTGTTTTTATAGATTTCTTAAATAGGTTACGTTGAAAATATATATTGTCAAGCATGATAACCTTCTCAAGCAATTAAAAAGAAAATCTCAAATACGCGTTATAAGCACGAAATATGTTTTGTTTCGAGAAACATACTGAAAATAAATTTTAGATTACAAAATCTGCATAAATTTATCAAGACTTGTAATCCTTAGAGTCATAAAAAATCTTAATGTTTTTCAACACTACTAAAAAAATTTCCTAATGATGAAAAATAAATTTCTCGTATTTCGAAAAATAACCCATGAAATATTTATTATATTATTAAATGATATTAGATAACAAAAAATATTAAACAAACTAAAATATATTTCAATTAGTTATTATTTTTGTTTTCTAAACTATGGCCAACTGATATTTAAGAAACTCCAAGAGCCCATCGAATAATTTACGGCTCTGATACCTGGAGGGCTTTGTTATAAACTGGCTATTTCAAATTTCAGAAATCAAAGTTTTTGAGATACTGCTGATATAAAAGTGATAATCATGAAATTTTGCAAAAGTATATTTATACTGTTAATTTTTTTAATACTTTTAAATTAAAAAATAGCCTTTTTGGATTTAAAAAATTTCGGAAAATTATTGGAGGTTCCCGACACTACGCAATTGGACTTAATTATAGCCCAATTTCGCAATTTTTAACTTATATTCGTAACTAAATCACCGAAGTCAAGTATCACTGGCTGCGGTCAGTGTGCGGGTGGGTGACCACCTGGATCAGTCTGCATGGTGACCGAGGGTGAGCGGTATTGGTCCTCGTTAAACTATGCTACCGTAAAGTGCTCGACTTCGCGTGCAGGTCGTCGGGCTACCGAACCGGGGTGCCATCCCCTCTGCAGAGGATCAACATTGTCATGGCAAGTCTTCGGATCATCCTCAGGGATGTTTCCCAGATCGTCGTCAATAGTCCATTGTGCAGCTCTAGTGAGATGTAAATGAACTACAACTACAGCAACTTAACTTAGTACAGTACTTCATGTTTAGACAACCTGAAATAATTGTTATTTGCAAATTTCAATATAGAATATTTGAGATAAGGAATGGAAAATGATCAAATGTACTCAGCAGTTTATCAACTTAGCAGTATTGTATCCCATTTTCTGACCAATTAAAACATTTGAAATTCGTATGAAGATTTTTAGTGTAGGGTGAGAGCATTTAAGCTGAGAGTAACAACTCCTTCCCCAAAGTGATAGGTATTTGAACTGCGGAAAACAAGTTATTGTATTTTTAATACTCCTTTTTTCAGACAATTAAATAGGTTTTGTCGGTTTTATAGTGATTAGAGCTACTTTAATAGTGATTTGTTAAAGCTGTATAGTACATTTGTTGAATATAAATCTATGGCACACAATGTATCCTAGATTTATATGTGGCACATTTATAAGGGTTTTAAAAATATTAAGAGCAGTGAACACGTGGGTGATCCCTGCACTTAAGCAAAAGGTCCAGCATGGGAAAAGGTAAACAGATAACAGTTTCCTTTTTCAGAAAAAGACACATAATAAAATACTCTAGAAAAGAAAGATTGCAGAAAATACAAGATAAATCAAAATATTTTGGTTTTACAGTAATTTTGTATTTGAATAATTAGTTTGAGAAAAACCTGTATTACACACATTAAAAGAATTAAATGGCATGGTAATTTTTTAATTGCTATGTTTTGTAGGTCATGTAAAAATTTATATTTGTAATAGATGAGCTTTAAAATTACCTTTTCCCTTTCTTTTTATAGTTTTAGAAACAAAAAAGACAAATAAAATAAGCAAAATTTTGATATTCAAATTGACTTCCACGTATAATAGATTACATTTAAGAAATTGGAAGGAATGCTGGAATGTGTGTTTCAAGCAAAGTGTAAAATCCTATTCCCAATTTTTTTGTTGCATTTATTGTTTGTAGAAAGTAAAAATAAATAAGCTTTCTTTATTTTTACTTGTAAAAAAATTAGCAGATTTTAACTTAAAAGTTTTTTTTTATTATCATACCTTTCATTGTTATGTGAAATATATTAATTACCAAACCAAATCTTGCTCTAGGTTTGAAATTTTAACCATAATAAAAATAATTAAATACAATAAAAGTTCTTTTGCACATTCCTACTTATCACGAACAATATTCATTAATCAGACTGTTTATTTAATAAGCTTTCTTAATAACAGATTCCAAAATGAGTAGAAATAGGAATTATGAAATACAACTATTTGTATCCCTTGAAAAAAAAAACATCTTTCCTTATCAACTTGATTCAGGAAAAGAAAATTCAGATTTTATCTTATATATCTATTTTCTGCACAGTAGCTTTTTATATCAAAAAGCAGACTATTCTGAATTTTGAAGTTTATTAACTGTTGTTTGAGACAAAGTTTGAATTTGTTTTAAAATATTACCTTTTGAATAATGAAATGATACATTGTGCATTCTGTAAAAGGATTGCCCTTAATATATGTTTTCAAATTCCACATAAAAAGAAGAAAAAATACACCTTAAGAATTGCAATAAATATCAAAATCAGTGTGACTTCCAGATGAAAATGAGAGGTCAAAGTTGAGTATTAAAAATCTTTAAGTTTTTTTTCGGGGTAACAAACTGGTTAAGATATATATATTTTTTTTAAATCTGCCTTTTTTAGTAAATCTTAATAAATTTTGTTCTTTTTCCTTACAAATAAGTACACTTTTTTAACAAAGATTCTAGAAATATGCATTAAGATTAGTGATAATTAAAATATCTGCAAATGCACAATTTTTACAATTGTGTTATTACGGTGCTTGAATTTAGGATAAAAGTTGAAAGGGGATAATTTTGTCCCCTTTAAATACAGGGAGGTAATTAAGATAAACTTTGCAAGTGAAAAGCATAATAGTTTCTTTTTTATTCAAGAATAAGACATAACAATAACATAAAATTTATTTTCCTGAAGATAAATATTACATAAGACGCAAGCGAAATTATTTAGAATGATCATAACTCAAGCATATATTAATAAAATAAATTTTATAATATTTACAATTAGTACTTAAATTATTTGTTTCTAAAAATCATTTTTACTATATGCCTCAGACATAAGTTTTTTTTCTTTATGACGAAGTATGTGAGCAGTTAAATTTGATTTTGTTGTAAAACACTTTTTACATATTTCACAAAAATGAGGCTTCTCTCCACTATGAAAACGTACATGAGCATTTAAATTACTTTTGTGTGAAAAACTTTTATTACATATTTCACAAGAATAAGGTTTTACTCCAGTATGAAGAAGTTTATGAGCATTTAAATTTGTCAAATGTGAAAAACTCTTATTACATATTTCACAGGTATGAGGTTTTTCTCCAGTATGATGAAATTTGTGAGAATTTAAATGTGTCAATTGTGAGAAACTCTTATTACATATATCACAAGAATAAGGTTTTTCTCCAGTATGAAGAAGTTTGTGATTATTTAAATTCTTTTTCTGTGAAAAGCTTTTGGTACATATTTCACAAGAGTAAGGTTTTTCCCCTGTGTGGAGAAGTCTGTGAGCAATTAAATTCCTTTTATGTGAAAAAGATTTACTGCAAACGTCACAAGAAAAAGGTTTGTCGTTAGTATGAATAATACTGTGTGAAGTCAAATGCCATTTTTGTGAAAAACTCTTATTGCATATATCACAAGAGAAAGGCCTTTCTTTTTTTCCTTCAACGTGGACACTTTGACAATGTTTTGTTAAATTACGCTTCTCTGAAAAACTTTGATTACAATCATTGCAAGAGAAAGGTTTTATTTTTTCATGAACTGCAGAACAATGTCTTTGTAAAGAATTTTTTTGCCTAAAAGTCTGGTTACATATACCACAGCAGTAAGGTTTCTCCTCTTTTTGTGCAGAAAAACAAAGTCCCATTAAGGCATTCTTATGAATAAAACTTTCATTAGATATAACACTAGAAGGAGGCATTTCATTGGCACAGATTGGAGACTGCCCATTCAGGTGATTTATACTGTCTGCCATTGAGTCATTATTTTGAGTATAACTTTCACTAAAAATATTGTTAACATCATAAATATCACTAGAAGAAGACATTTCATTGGGCTGTCCATTGAATCCATTACTTTGTAAGTCACTTGCATTGTCTGAATTAGATAAAAGTAGGCTTTCTTTAGTTTCATTTGGGCTGTCCGCCATTGTTGTAATAGACCGGTTACTAACAATTTTATTCTGATCAAAGTTTTATCAAAATTTGTCAAAAAGACAATGAATCATTTTATCTAAATTTAAACAAAAATGAAATATATTTGAACAATAGAAAGCAACAAATTATAACATAAAGTTTTGAAATAACTTTTAAAAATAATTTGTTTTGTAAATTGTGTAAGTTTATTTAAAAAAAAAAAGGACTATTACAATTTCCGAATTACATAAGTACGATAGAGAAACTGAAAAGTTGCCAGCAGTAATTTAAATTGCATAAGTACAAAAAAGTTATTTAAGTAAAATAAATTAATAATAAAATGACCAAATTAATTTAATAAATATTAAGCAAAATATTTTCAGCTGTAAAATGAGATTGTAACCAAATATCTTTGAATTCTGACAACTGCTTTTTAAAGAAAAAAATATAAAAATGAATAAAAATGCAATAATACAATATATATTTACAGGATATTGTAATAAAGTTCTTTTTACAAATTCATAGAAAATGAAATGTTGGACACTTAAATGAATAGTTGACTTGTTTTTATCACCTAGTTTAATAAGGATAAGAAGTGAGTGACTTGTGGTTTTCATCAAGATTTATTCACAAAACGGCAATGGCGTCATAAAAATCTAAAAAAAAATATATATATTTATAAGTTTATTATTAAAAAACTAATTATATTTTGGACCGAAAACACTGAACACCAAAGATACTTTCTACTTAAAACACTTTTTAGTTTTAATATTAAAATCATAAGTCTTTGTATCAAGATAATGTAAAAATTCATACAAAAAATGAGGCTTAATTTATGGCTCCAATATAAAGTTCAATGTCACTAAACATAGGATAGAATTTAGAGCTTTCTGGTAATATAAAAAGGTTCATTTAACATAGGATTCATAAATTAAAATAAAAAAAAAAATTAGTAGTAATTTATGTTTTAAAGAGATGACAAACTTTTAACAACCAGGCTTTTTTTTTTTTTTAAAGATAAACTTATATCTTAAAATCAATAAACAAATGAACAATTTAACAAATGAAATTGTTACTTTAGTGAATAAAAATTAAATGAACAATTTGTAATCAATCACCTTTTTTTCTGAAGTAACACTAACTCTTCAAATTTTAATGGAAGATATTTTTAATGGAAGATTAAGGAAATAATATCATGGCTAAAACTGCAAAGGATGAAAGAGAAGTTTTTGTTCTTTTTATCACGTAAAACGGTTAGTTCAGTCAGCATTCAAATTACACCGCCAAAAATTAACTAATAAAAGGTTTTATAATGTCCTAAATAATAATCCCAAATAATCTCATGTTTATAAAGAATGTAACAAAATAAAGTCTTATACATATAATTTCGAGCTCTCAAGATCGGATAACCAGTATTTGAATAGCAAAGAATTAAGGAACATATGTACCACAAAGAAGCCAATGTTCAATATTTGCTTTTTAATCACAAAACTTTACTTTCGGTCTCTTAACTTTTGTTTATATCTAGGTATTAATGTTTTCCTTGTACGCAATTTGGATACTAGGTAGGATATTATCGCCTATTTCTGTTTATCTTAAGCTTATATGATAACAAATCTATATCTTCCAAAGTCGAATTAAAGCGCTACCTAGTGTGCCTTTAGTTAAACTGTGAGAAAGGTCTTAGCATTTGTAGGATCGAGGAATTTAGGATAGGAATCGGAAAAATATATATATATATATATCTGTCAAGGGTAATTGAAATTTATTAGATTTGTGCAAAATTCTTAAAAACTTTGTGGGAAAAGACCATTTAGATAATGCCAATTTTCATCTATCAAAAGGTACCTCAGGATTGAATCAAGTTAGCATGTCTGATATACTAGTGAATTGATGCTTAATAATCGTAGTGGTAGTTAAGCCCCAATACTCCCCCACGTCACCAGTTGTAAAGGAAAGTGTTCAGTCTTCCTACCGTATGCGATTTTGAATAAATAAAAACAAAATAAATTGGAGACATCACTACATTTAATATATACAGTTATTTATAAGTTAATATATAATATTTACACCCATTAATACTTTTATGTCCTAATCTGTGGAACATAAAGATTGTAATTATTATTGAGTTGTCTTAGCAACGACTGTTTAGATTTTTAATAAAACTTTATTTTGATGCCTGATGTTTTATTGCTCTTGCGCACCACAACTCTCTTGAATGTGGAGTTCTGAGTTGTCTTTTCATTTATTTTAAAAATAAATATACTAATACTAACTTTAAACGAAATTTTTTAAAACGAATATTTTATAATGGTCGTGACAATTATTTTTTTCCCGCCAATGTAAATGCAATTAAAAAAAATTACCCACTTATTCCACATGGAAGACAGTTCATCCCCTAATGGAAATTTTCATTTTTACAACTTTTTATAGATTTAATTTTTGACACACAAATCTCTTTATAATTAAAAAAAATTCTATATAGATTAAAGGCTGATTAAGGATTTTTTCGTACATATTAAGAAATAATTTTAAAAATTAAGTTATAAAAGGTACACGTTGGAAGTATTAAATTAATACTTAAACAAGAGAAAAAAAGTTATCAAAATCAGACTAATCATTAACGTCCTTCTTGTCTCACTGTGGACTGATCGTAAGTCACAGCTCCCGGTAGATCACTGAAGACAAACATCACTGGCAGTGGTCAATTAGTGGGTGGGAGAATACTTTGACCAGCTTGCGTAGTAAGCGACGATGTGCAATATTGGCCCTGTTTACCGAAAAATATAAGAGCGCAGATCGTCGGATACCAAAACATGGGAAACCATCTAATCCACAGAGGATCAAAATTAAGATATCATGCCTTCGAATCATCCTCAGCGATGTTTCCAACATAGTTGATAGTAACCCATAGTGCTACGCAATAAAAGTATTACTACTAGCTTAATGATACATCAGGTTTTAATAAAGTTTTTGTTTTGCAAGATTATAAAAGCAAAACCCTAAGATTTCGGAGAAATTTAAAATGAGATGAAAAGGAACTAGTATAATAAATGCACAATCAAGTTTCAACTGGCATTGAAACTGGTTAATAGAGTTTTTACCACGTCCTCCTTCACAGGCATTTCTACAAGTCTGATAACGCTTTTTTTTCTTCTTAGCTATTATATAGCGATGTCTAGTATGCATACTTTTTTTCAATGCATTATATTTGACAAGCATTCTAAATAAGGCAAATTCAGCGTCTGCTTTTTCTTTTTTGCAAAAAGATATTTCAAAATTTTTGTTTTTGGTAATTTACATAACTATTACATTTAGTACAACAATATTTCACTTAATTATTCAGAATATATTTTGATAACTTATAAAGTCTTTTCAAATTAATATGCTAAATATTTTGCTTTATTATTATTGTTTTAAAAGTTCTTCTTCGTACCAGATATTTAGTCAATACTCCTAACATTTGTACTAAAATTGTAAATTAAACATGTTTGCATTTTAAAAAATTTAGAAGCTGGTATTCTCATATTTTTGTTATCAGTTCAAATTTGATTCTTCAAAATATTAAGGGAACCAACATGTAATTAGAAAAAAATGTACTACCTAGCCTAGCAGCACTTTGCAAGCTTTCACCATTAGTGTGTATGAAGTTTTTTGGTGCTGAACTAATTCACTGATATCCGCACATTCCGGATAGTCGAGCTTTTATTGTATAAAGTTAAAAATAAGCAAAGCAAAAATAAATATCTTTATTTTTTAAATTATTAAGCAACAAAAAAATTTGTTTAAGAAAAACGAAACTACAGCCACCTCACACGTCACATCTTCAATAAAATAAGATGGAAGAATCAAATGCCATAAGGCAGGTATCTCACATTAAAGAATGGAGCAAGCCTTGAATAGGATTAAATAAGGATCCAATATTTTCACAAAGTAATGAAAAATGATGGACAAAAATTGTTAAATGTAAATAAGAATTAGCAGTAGATATTGAAAAACTCAGGTTAAAAAAAATATGTTTCAAAGGACAAGCATGCAAAACAAAATATAGTACTTATTTACACTAGTGTTTTTAATTTCCCCCTCCTTTAATTCAAGTTAAACTTAAGTGGAAAAAAAAGCAAATAAATAAGTATAACATTAAAGACATTTTCATAAACTTTAAGTCTGCTTTTAAATTTCGGTTATGTAAATGATAACTTTTCAATGTTTGATCTAATATTTTAGAATATCTAATATCTTAGAAATTTTATAAAAAGAAAAAAAATATGAATTCTTTTATAACTCAAAGCAGAACATGGAACAAGGATAGAGGTCTAAGAGGATGATTGCATTGGGACTCATGCAGATTTGAGAAAAAAAGTATATATAAAACAGTAATAAGTCATTAATAAATAGCAATGCAGCTTTTTAATTTCTGTTTCACAAATTATAGCTTTTCAATGATTAATCTAGCTTTACGTTTCATAATAAAACGATTACGAACTTTTCTAAACTTCATAGCAGGTCAAAGACAAGGATAGGGGCTAAGGCATATAAATTTAAAGAACATAACACTTTTCCATTTCTGATTAGAAATTTTCTGAAAATTTTTTTCTTTAAAAATTAGACTTAAGTTGTTAAAACAAATTATAGAAATCTTACACTCTTTTTCTTTTAACAAAATGATAACTTCTAGTTTCCACCTCTTATTTTTTTCGCATCTAGATGAATCTATGTTATATCAGATCATCAATTTGAACATTCGTATACAAAACATTTTGGCGTTATTTTTTGTAATTGAAAAAGTAGCAAAATCAGCAGTTCAAATATTGGTTATTCATTATAAATTTAGAATCCATTGAAGAATATTGCCATTATCTTAGAAAGGTTGGACCACAACTGCTTGCTGGTTCATGGGAGTTATTTCTAATCTTATGTATTTACAAAAATATACAAATTTTTCTAAAGCATTGTTTTTAAATGTATAAAATGTACATTTTTTTTTATTCAACTGTATATTTTTTAGCTATTATTTTAGAACAAATAAATGAAAAATGAAATGGTTAAGTAACATAGTAAAAATTAAACAAAAGTAAAGAAAAGTCGTATTTATTTAATTCAATTTGCTTTCTCGTTGTTTCAAACAGTCTCATCATAGTAAAAATCTCAGTCATGCTTAAGTAATTAAAAAATTTTGGGGTAGTTAAAGACAGGGCTCTGGTTGGGAATGGGCTTCAGGCTTAAAATTCTAGACTTTGGCTCTGCGCTGTTTGACAATTAATAAATAATAAACAAAGATAAAATTAAGTTGATATAATAATATAAAGCAATATAGATTTAAGTAAAAAAATTGTATGATTTTTTTGGAAAGAAAATAATTCATAGCACATGAGATATTAATACAAAAATTTTAAATGGATAACAGAAACTTCATCAGAATAAAAATACCAATCATAAATGTTGGAATGTTTCTTAAATAAGATTATTACTTTTTTATTAATAAGTATAACAATAGTAATAAACAAATATTTCAGAAACAAAAGAGATTTTCTATGTAAAAACTTATATACAAGTCAACAAGATCTATACTTTTAAACTTTTATGTTAGTTTAAAAGTATAGAAGATCTATACTCTTCTATACTTTTAAACTTTTTTTTATCTATACAAATAAAATTGAACAAATAGATCAAAAAATATTTTATTTTATTATTTTTCGAAATGATAAATTTTAAGAGCTCTTTGCCAAATGGGCTCTCAGAATAGCTCAATATATACATTTAAAATGCAAATAGCTCGAAATGCACAATTAACAAAATGATTTATCTTGGAAGGCACTTTCTTTTTAAAAAAAAAAGACGTATCTCTAAACGAAGTTTTCTTGAAATGCAAGTTTGAAAAAAAAAAAAAAAAAACTGATATATAGTTCTAAATGTGCATAGCATTTCATTTTGTTTTCATAAACAATAATAATGACGATTGTATTTTCAAAGAAGTAATAAGGGATTTTTCATAATGATTTGGTACAAACATTTTCCACCGGTACAAATCTTTTATTTTTCTTAACATTGGTGTTAAAAATCTATGCTCTTTGTTTGACTTTGAAAAGGTGCATTTAGAGCTATGCTCTTCTTTTTCATATGGGCATTCAAGCTATATTAATTTTGTTAAATATATTTTTTAATTTAATCCATTTTTTTGAAAGACGTATCTCTGAATACATTTCAAGTTAAGTTTGTTTCTTTCTTCGATGTACCTTTGGAGCTATGTCCAAAATTAAAAATTTATTTTTTCAAAAATTCCAAAATACACTGGTTATCATAAATTAAGGAAAAATCACAAAAATAGCGATAACTCTTTCAAAAGTAAGCCAAACCGTGCAAAATTTGCATATGTTGTCCACTAAGAGTAGCTGAGTAAAATTGCAATATGCAAATTAGTGGCGCTGCACTCGGCTTACGTCATCTGCCTGGAGCATAAAAGTCCAAGTTTGAGAGAAAGCACACAAATTTTACTGTGATTGCGACATTGAA